GTACTAAGCTTAGTTTTACTTTATATTAAATTAATTCCTTATACTAAGATATATATCCTTAAACTAATACTTTTATTCTATATATTATAGGAAATAAGCTTATATATACCTTATTAATATAGAGGGGAAGAGTATATATAATTATTAATAGTATATTTATAAAAGCTTATATATATCTATAAAGATTTATACTTTATTATTAAGGATATTATAGGTCTCTTCTAAGTAATTATTCTCTTTACTCTATAGTAAGTTAAATACCTTAATTAGAGATTTATTAAGTAGTTTATTTAGAATTACCTTAAATAGTATTATATAATACTATTTATCTAAATATAATTCCTTTAAATTCCTTTTTATTTATAGGGTCTTATTCTTATAACCCCTAAATAGTTTACTTATATATAAGGTTAATTAGTATATTTAAGAGCTCTTAAGATCTCTCCTTATATTATTTAATAATCCCTAATAAGGTTTACTTACCCTTTATAGGTTAATCTTAAGTCTATAATTTTTAAGGGTTTAGCTAGCCCCTTAACTTATATACTCTTATTCTCTAAAGTCTTTTAGCTTTATAGATCTTATAATCTTATAGGTAATAAATATAAGATCCTTTTTTTCTTTATCTTCCTTATTATTATTATTATAATATAATATCTTCTTTAATTATAAAGCTATTAAATTATTAATTCTCCCTTTAAAAGTAATCTTATTAAATACTATATATTCTTTTAGAGCTCTTATAAATATTAAATAGCTTATTTTAAAATCTAAAGCTCTCTACCTTTTAAAGTCCTCTTTAATATAATCTAATAAATATAATCCTAATACCTTACTATAGATAGATATTACCTTTAAGATCTATATATTCTTATAATCTTTATTAGCTTTACTTAGAGATATACTAAGTTTATATAAAGGTTCTTTAAAGATAAATTTAAGGTTAAGAGCTTCCTTTATTAATTATAAAAGCTTTATTATTTTAAACTTATTAAGTAACTCTTTAAGTTATACCTTAAGCCTTACTTTTAGTTATACTTTAAGTAGTATTTTAGCTATATTATTACTTTATTAATCTTAGCTAAAGCTTAATCCTAGCTTTATATTAACTATCTTATTATTATTATAATTAGTAGTTTTAGCCTTTATCCCTAATAATATAGTTAGAGCTTAATTATATAGCTTAAGCTATAAAGATATTTATATAATTATAAAGTTAAATATATTACCTACTTTATAAGTTATATCTTAAGATTAATTATATAGCCTAAACTATAAAGGTTCCTATTTACTCTCTTATAGAGTTATTCTTAAGCTCTTATATATAGCTTCTTACTATAGTATTAGATTAATCCTAATTCCTCTACCTAGCTAATTTATATTATAAATAAATATAATACTAATTAGTATTAGAAGGATTCTCTTTAAATTACTACCTAAGTCTAATAACTATACCTTAGAGCTTTAAATAAGGTTAATTTATATAAAATAAATATATTATTATTACTAGTTATAATCTACCTATATTAACTACTAATTATCTCTCTTCCTTATCACCCTGTGATTATAATAGTGGTTATTATATATAAGTAACGCTCAACTAATCAGAGGGCTACATTCAATAGTTTTAGCCTTTGATAGAATATACACAAAGGGGTTTGCTCGACACCTACTATATTTCTCTTAGCTACCCACCACTTATACCTGGATAAATAGTCTATATCTAAGACTATAATTAATATATAAGGCCTTGCATAATTAAAGTACTCTTCATACTTAGTATTTTGTACTTAATAGCCTAGATATAGTATGCCGCCAGAGAAATGGTGCAGGTGGCTTGCTGCAGGTGCATTTGTGAAACGAGGCAAGCTCCACGTGACATGACAAAGATTTCAGCCGGCGGTGTCGTATCTTCTTCCGTGATGATCCTGCGTCATCATACTCCGGGAGCAGGCAGTCCGCAGAATGGAGAGTCGAGTTAGATGGCTTTCTTTCGCCCTATACACTTTATTTTGGTTCACAGTAAGTGTGACTGAAGTCCCTAACGTAGCTCTCATCGAGCGTGCAATCTGCATCCGCGAGCATCAAAACCCAGATGTGGACGAAGCGTTGTGCAAAGGCTCCCACGTCCAAGCAGCCCTGTCACGCACACTAGGATGGAAGCTGGCATTTAATTCACTTGCAGGTTAGTGATCCAGCAGATGGCTATTTTCTTTTATGATGAACTGTTTTCGAAAAGCTTGCTTTAGGGTCTCCGCGACAAGTGTTCACTTCACGCCCTACATTTGATGAGTGCATAGCTTTTAGGAGCAAGAACATGGCCAATTTTAGTTGCACTCACACAGAGCTGGAGAAATTTGCCTCTATAAACAGGAAGCTGACTGTAGCTAGGATTGCTAACCGCCATTTTCTACGGCTTTGTCGCTGAGCGGCTTGGAAAGAAACTCGTCATTGCTCTTTCAACATGTGGCTTCGCAATAATGACAGCGCTAGATATTGCAATCTGTAATTTTCTCTTCAAAATCACCTGGACCACAAAGCTCACTATGTACTAGGTTCGAATCCGCTCACTGTGCCCATCAATGCGATCTGGGTATCGTCAGGACTTCTCTTGATAGGTGGCGGTCAGCGTGTATACACATCCATGATCTACGCTCTTGTCTCAGACTCTCTTGAAAGCGAATCCAGGTATGATCGGAACGTCTTTACCATCTTAACGAAGACTAAACTCCCCTCCTGTAGAGCAACGCAACTGTACTTGCTTGGACTGGGCTCCAATATAGTCAAGTTCATCGACCCAAGAATAGCTGCTGGTTTAATGCAAATAGATCTACGCGCGCCATTCTATGTCTCCTTCGCAATTTGGGGTCTCATTTTGATCTTGCTTACGCTGGTGAGCGAGCCTCAAATTTCAGATACGAAAAACCAATACGAGCATGAGTACACCCCGATCAACACAGGCGGCCAGGTGCCGGAAAGTCTGGCTATTCCGGTAGCTCAAAGAGCGTCTCCATCTAACACCACAAGTCTGGATAGTCATGCGTCTCCAGAGAATGACACGGGTGGACGATCCATATTCAGTAAAGCTAGGAGTGAGTTGAGAACATTCTATGTCCTCTTTGGCACGCCAGCCTCATTTTATTGCCTATCTGCAATGTTATTGAAGAGGATCAGCTTTGCAAGCAGCGTCTTTCTATCACAATATGTGTCTGAGAAATTTAAATGGGTTCTTCACGAAACCACATGGCTTCGTGTGTCTAGTAGCGGCGCCGCCATTCTCATCTACATCATTGTGCCTCTTGTGAATCGGCGGTTAGTTAAAAGAGGCAACCCACGCCCGCTCGTGGAGCTGAATACAATAAGGGGGTCATTGCTGGTATTGGCTGTATCCTTCTTTGAGGTTTGGAGTCTTAACACTGGATGGCTCATGATTCTTGGTACGAACATCTAAAATTACGACGGACAATCTTGGAGTTGTGTGAAACTGACTTGGAACAATATTTGGCAGCTTCGTTCGGAATGGGACTTGGTGAAGCACTGCTCCCCGCCTTACAGAACCTTTTGACGTTTGCAACGGACGCTCAAAGAAACACGAGAGTATTTGCAGTGATCGCTTTGGCGGATACACTGGCTGAGTTGATTGGCGGCCCGTTGATGGCAGCATTGATGAATATTGGAAGGACAAGCAGCCATCCTTCGGATGGCCTGTGTTTCCTGGCATCCTCAGTAAGTTTCTATGATTTATTTACATTAGCATTGCCTTGACCAGATGCCTAATATTTAACTTCATCAGTCTCTCTTTGGTATTCTTTTATTTTGGGCGTTTTTATTCAAGATCCCAAATGAGAGGACCATGCTGTGATTGACCCCTCAATCAGAATTAGAAAATTGAAATTTCACTGTCAGTTTAAGGCTGCAGGCCAATGGATAGGCACTCGAAAACGAAGTTGTCGGTCTATTATTGAATTGGAATTAAAATATGGGATTCAGCAGCAGGAGATAACCATGGAACTGAATAGAGCCTATCAATGCACTGGAGCGACCCTCCGTTAAGAATCCAGGTGATGAATTTGTCTCACAACAACTGTGATATGCCATTTCGTAGCTAATATACGCCCAACAAATATATACCTGCCTAGGTATAGCCGCTGGGAAGTCGGCGAGTTAGTTCGCTACAAGCGCCGAACGTGGTGATCGAGAAAAAGACACTTGCTTGGTGGATTATCTGATATGATTTTGTACTCTCGAACCAAACATGCTACTGTGAACGTCACTGATCAGCTATCAAGTAGAGCCAATGCAGGGCTCGTGGTAACTGATTATTGTTCGTACTATTAGGTGCTAGCTCTGGTGGTTCCTATGGACCACTAGGCTGGGCTGCAAACTGGTACCCAGTGCAGGCAAAGTGCACAACATGGTAATGGAGGATTCTAATCCTTGTGATTCGACGATTGGGAAAGGCGGCTGCATATGGTTTCTCTGCCGGCAAGAATACCTACCGCGCCGGGGGGGAGGGGGTCAGCTGCCTCGCAGGGGTTCTTGACCGGTCCCAAGGAAAGCTAGCGATATCGATGTCATGCACATGGAGCCGGTCTTGGTGTATTTGCCTAAGCCCCTGTCCTCTGGTGGGCATTCGCAATGCTGATCCGTTGATACTACCTCGCTTTGTTGGTGCGGATGAATATGCAAGTACTGACAACGCATAAGTAGTCACATTCAAAGGCCACGCCTAAAGCGAGGTGTGGTCAGCTACACCTTGCATGATCTGTACCCTCCATATTCACTTAGAAGTTCATGTGCTCCTCCGCCCCATTTGGTGCCACCATAAGCCAAGAATTAACCAATGGTAATGCTCTTGGTTGTTTCCTGGTACTGGTGATTTTGTGGTAGTACGTCTTGCCTCACCTCGTAGCCATCGCTGACCTCCCGTAGAACCTTACATTGTTTTCAACTTCTCGTGTTTCCTTCTCATTCGGGGCTGTTCGCAACTTTTGATCACCATGAACAGTTCCGCGCTCATGACTAGTGTTTCTTGCCTTGATCGGCTTGACCTTTACAAGAAGGAAAAGCCGTTTGAGCTGCGCTTTCCCGCTCCTACCGGTTTCCCTCAGAAAAACATGGTGATTTCTGAGTATGACGGTATTGAGGTGAAAGATGTCCGAGGCTCTGAAGACCAGCTCTCTATAGAAAAGAACGGCTTTCTCGTAATGAAGCTGGACCACGATTTTGATACGATGGATTTTGACAACAAGGAAATAATCAAGTCTAAATATTTGCCTATAGTCGCCGAATCTCTCAAGAGCCGCCTTGGCGCAAGTCGTGTCCTGGTCCATGACTTTCTGGTATGAAATCTTTCCCTCATGAGTGGCGTGGTTCCAAGGACTTAACAACTGTGCTTTTGCAGGTTCGCAAGAGTCATACTACATTTCCCGTCTCCACGGGCGAGGTCTACGAATGGGAGCAGCCGGCCAATCTTCTTCACATCGGTAGGCATCGGCTTTGCATGGATTTGTGCAATCTTCTTCTAAAAGAGTGACCAGATTCTACTCCAAATGGAACGAAGCAGCTTGTGGGAAACCTTAGCCAGGAGCTATTCGTTGAACTGTCGAAGAAGAGGTGCCAGTATGTCACGTATGCGCATCTATCCTACGACCCCTATTCGTTTTACCCTCACCAATTAATGATCAATGGTGAATTAGTGTCTGGAAGCCTATCAAAGGCCCAGTTCGAAAATGGCCTTTGATGATGGTAGATACCTCCACAGTGAATGTCAATGCAGACCTTGAGGCAAGAGATATGGTTTATTACGACAGCGTCGTTGAAACTCATCTTGTCTACAATTCCGACGACTACGAATTCAATTACTTAAGCAATCAGACTACCACCGAGGCATGGGTAATTTTGCAAACAGACTCTGAAACACTAACTGGTAAGGTTCCATTGCTACTGCTGGCCTCCTGCGCAATAAACCAACCTATCTCAGGCACACCACACTCATCTTTCCGTAACCCACTTGCATCTGACTCAGATCCAGAGAGGGAGAGTATTGAGGTACGGACTTTAGTCTTTTTTGATGATCGAGTCGAGAAGATAGATGAATAGGATAGAATGACTACTTCTGAGAAAGTACTCTGCGCTTTGCTTGGCCAGGCTCTTATGTCAATACCCCACTGTGCTTGTGTCACTTTGTAGCCACTAGATTCAAACTCGAAAGCAGGAGGCAAAGTATCAATGTCCACTACACAAATCTCTTGTACTGGCGTTATCATACGGTCTCACAGTTAGAAGAATCCCACTTATTCACTCGAGCCATTGGCCTTTGCTTCACAATTCTCAGTGCTTCTCAGTGTCATAGAGAACTTCACATCGGTCATCCTTGCCATCATTGTCCCCACGACTCTGGCCTCCAATGTGCATAGTCTGTCCCTTCTCGTAGTAGTGATGCCTACCACTACCGAGGTCCGAATTCTTCTTGTTTTTCATGAGCTCAACGACGCTTTCGTTCGTCTTCCATGGCTGGTTAAGGACGGGAGAGTTCATCGTGTTTTCCTTTACTATTCATTGTAAGCTCCACGGTCTCCTTAGGGTCTAACATCAGTTGAGTAGGGATCAGAAATTACCTGTCCTGGTATGAATTAATTAACTTAAAGGGAGTTCTCGTATTTGTGATCGTAGAGAGTATTGGCGGGGGGAGAAGGAGGGAAGCCGTCGTAGAGCGTGTACTTACGGTCTTCGGGGAAGCAGGGCTGCCTTAGCTATAGAACTTCAACTTGCTGAGTGATAGTGATGGTGGCTGCATGAATCACAGTCAGTCTGTATGCACTAGTTCCGAGACAGGAAGAAAAGGATGAAGGGGGGGACAACGGAGGCGGGGGCGTGTTAATGCATGTAAGACGATGGCTTCATGAATCGATCAATGTGTGTGATAGTTGATACTATGGTGTTGCCCAATTGGTAAGCGGTGTAGTAGTAGGCAGCACAAATCCCCCACGCGGCTCAGTCTGCCTAATCATCATAGCCGCCCTATAATCTGGTTGGATCTTGGGCTTAGTTCATCAGTTGAGTGATTGGACAGCAAAAAACAGGGCGCAAGGATCACGGCCGCCCCAAGTAGTCACGCGTACTCGTACATACATTATTATAGGTGCTTTAAATGGCCCTGCTCCTCGGCATAAAACACAGGACAACTCCCCCACCCCAAACTAGTCACGCCCCTACCCAGCAGGACTGGTCGGGTAATTTACCGTGAGCGTGGCACCCAGAACGGACGAGGCTGGCCCAAGGAGGTCTGCTGACCTGGTGAGAAATAGTTCACTGTAGCCAATAGGAGCTTCACTATGTGCTGATGAGCTGTACAAAGGTCTCTCGGAATTCCTAAGACGGCAACACGCCCGAAGAGGTGGTGTGAATGTCCACGTCATTGCTTATATTCCTAGGAAGGTTGAAACGCGGGGTCCGTACATTTTAGAATGAGGCTCAAAACCAGCACCACAAGAGCCTCATCACATCCTTTAGCGTTTCAGGTTCGCAAGAGCTCCCAAGAATGCTTTTCCCGAAGCGAGCGTTCACATCAATCCGGGTTGTCCCGATTGCTTGCTTTCCAGCCGTTTATCTTTGTTCAAGGCCACCAACCACCGGAGTGTGTCACACGGGTTTGACACATGTTCGGAATCAACCCTTTACTCTTTTTTTAACGGCATCTATATTATCTTTGGTCAATGAGTCCGCTAAAACTCCTCGATAGTCCACAACTCCCATCTAGCACTTTAAATATTATCTGGTTATGGATAGAATGATAAGAGACCGTGGAGAAGATGCTTGGTTCGATCTGTCTAAAATAGGGGTCTTTCGTGCCCAGGGTAGCTGGGCTACGGCAGATCATCTACAAGGTGTACGCGGAGAGTACCAGCTAGAAGCTAGGGACTCAATTATATTTGCTTTCAGCATCCATAGCGCGCAGTATTCCTTAATTAAGCAAGAAATTACTGCCACTGTCCAAAACGAGGAGAAAGGGAGATAGATCGTCCTGGCTTGAACTGATCTTGGGCATAATATATCCACGGGTCACAAAAGCCCATGGCTTCTTAGAACAATGGGGGGTCGGTCAAGTAGATCACCCTTTCTTTTCCCATATCCGTCACTTCCCTCCAGACAATGGAACAACAGCTTCCGGACCCAATTCAGCCAATCCTCTGGACCTCCAAAATCGTGCCTCTCTATAGTCGGTGTCCTCTCTATTCGATTAAGCCTACCGTTGGTCTAATTTCATAATAGGGAATTGTCTCTGTGTCGCATAATGCCGGCTCCTTGAAGCCAGTCGAGGAGGCCACGACTGAGATAGTAACTACTCCAATCCCTACAGCATCCCTAACTAGCCAAGGAAATGAAACCCAGTATGATGTCTTTCAAGGCGCCTACGACAAGATCAAATTGAATGCTAAATCATTTGTTGAGAATATGCTACTGGTCCTCCCGGGAGACTTTGAGCTCAATGGGCAAGATAGCATGTTGACTATCCTATATAAGCCTTAAAATCATGCCTACCACCAATTACGCTATATCTAATACTTTCAAAGTGTAGTTAATGATGAAGAAATGATATTTTGTGACCTATTCCTAGCGGTAATTGATTAAAACCAGTCGCTCAAACGCTTCATCACTTTCATCATCTAGATCTCCTCCCCCATTCGGCAATTGTGATCGTAGCCTTCTGGCCTCTAATCTCTGCCGCTCTGCTTCCTCTTGCAGTGAAGGGTCTGTTGCTAGAGCTTTGGAATATACATGACAGCATCGGCTGAGGATACCGTCTGGAACCTTGACTAACTTTCCAATGGCTACAGCGCGTTCTGATTCGCGACTATATTTTTCTTTCAGTCTCGGAAATCTTGGAATACTTCGGAATGCGAAAACAATTACTCACATCGCCCTTTCGGATAGGCCCTGCCTGAGAGCAATATCACCGGCACGGTAGGCACAGTAGGAACCAAGCCAACTAAAGCGTGCCGCTGCTCCAGAGGTCTGTATCAATTGCTCGGCACAATCGACATGCTCGCTCGCGTGATGGAGCCTCTCCGTTCGTGTGTACAAAGAAGCAAAAGCAAGATGGCCACTGGGACACAATTAGTTAATGTGCACTGCGGGTTAAAGATTGCAGGGAGTCCAGATGTCGAGACGTACTAAGCTATCATGTACCAGCCCTGAAGTTCCTTGGCGAGGGCGAGACCTTCCTCCAACCGAATTTCGGCTTCTCCGTACTTTCCCATGCAGTAATTATTGCGTGCCATATTATACTTCCATTGAAGTCTTCTCGAGACTACTTCGCCCGCTGGGCCGTCGAAGATTTCTCCGGACTTGACGAACTGCTGCTCGGCCTCTTCGAATCGGTCTTGGCAGCCAAGAGCGAGACCAACTCCGTTGTAAGCCAGTGCAACTAACAAATCGTTGGGAGGGAGCATCTTTTGCCGGATTTCCAGACACTCTCTCCTCTCCAACTCGGAACTGGAAAACTCAGAGGTATTAGAGTGATGAATTGCCTTCAAGGTAAGCAAGAATGCCCAGAGAAGTCTATCTTTGTCCTCCTCAGGGCAGTTGCGATAGGCTGCATCAGCGGTCTCGACCAGCTCGGGCGCAATCCTCAGGGTGTCATTGTCGTCAATTGAGCTATTAAATGATTAGCGCATTCTTTATCGAGTGTGTTCTCTCCCCCCCCCCCCCTTAGAACACTGGGCTTATCTTACTTGGCAGAGTTGGTGAGAAGAATCACGAAACTTTTGGTTGGTCGTAAAGGGTCTGGCTTTCCCTGAGAACTATTGTAGTTTTTGACCAAAGCCAAAACCTGGGGCAAATACTTCTCATAAAGAATCCAAAACTTGTTACCAAAGTTCTTCTCACGTTGTGATGGAAACTTTTCAAGGAGAAGTTGGATGGCAGCCTCGAAATGCTCTTGCTTGTTTTCCGTTCGGAGCCGAAACTCTGCCTGAACCAGCCGGTGAACCCGAAATGTGCCCTTCTCGATATTCTTCCTGACCAGCGCATGGTGGGTTAGGCTTTCAATGGCCTCGTCAAGTTCAAGCTCGTCCGCGCAAAAGGATAATAATTCGGGCAGGCGATCAGGTTTGCTGGAAAGAAATATCTCTGACGGGATAGAGTCGGCAGAGAGGAAGCTCAGGACCCCAAGACAGGCTCGTGCCTCAATCCCGAGATTTCTAAACGACATGTCCCATACAGTGTCTAGTGAATGTTCATAACCCAGATACTTCCACCCGCTCTTTCTCTTGGTATGGAGCTGTTGTCCGTGCTTCATGTAGATAGCTAGAAATTGTTTCATAGAATAATTTCTTGCATTTATAAGAGCAGCCATTTGGTTGAGAGCAAGTGGGAGACCTTCTAGTAGCTTGGTTAATTCCCTGGTTGGCTCCATTTCATCGTCAACGCGGCTTCTGACGGGTGTCAAGTGAAGGAGAAACTCAGCTCCTTCGTCAACCCCAAACTCCTTTATTTCTATACCCTTATCGATCGGCAATGTAGCCACGTGCACATCTCTTGTGGTCACGATAACCGCTCCGTGCTGAGATACAGGCCAACAACTGTCGAGTATGTCATGAGAGTCAACATTGTCGAAAACCAATAACCATGTAGCCGCTTGATAAGAAGCGTCAGCAATCTAAGTTTAGAAATTTACTTTAATAATTAGTTGTGCTTACACGTCTTTTGAAGCCAATCTAGCACGAGAATCATATTCTCGGTATATGCCTGAGGTTTCGCTTTCCGTAGCTTGAGAGCATCTGTTGCCACACGGCTGAAGTACTGTTGGATTGAATGCTGATCTTCTGCAGATATCCAAAATACTGCATCGAGGCTACTTAGCTTCTGGTAAGCGTAAGCTAGAGCAGTCTGAGTCTTGCCAATTCCACCTAACCCATATAGGGCAACAGAAGCAAGTCGGCTGGCAGTATCCGTAGGCTTCAAATGGTCGTCAATCTGGGCTAATACGTCCCTTCGGCCAAAGAAACGCTGATTTTCGGCAACAGGGAGTGTGTTGCACGGCAAAGATGCCCCGTCCTGGCTTGACTGTTCGAGGGACAACAAACGCTGGAACAGTGTCATTTCCTGTATCGCACGGGCATTCTTCTCGGCCATGGTTGCTACCTTTTCGATGCGTTTGACAGCATCCTCGATGTTTCTGTAAGTGGAAGTATACAAGACTGTCAGACTCTTCCAGGAATATTCATCAAGGCCGGCTTCAAAGATAAGATTAGTAAATAAGCTTAATGATTGAACAGACAAACCACACACACCTTCCAAGCCCTGATCCTGATTTCTGAACATCATGATGATGTTAATCCAAAGAGTCATAATCTCTTTGTTGACTTCCACAGTGTCCCCTTTTACTTTCATAAAATCATTGATATTCTTGTTGCAATCGTTTGAGTCTCGAAGACGATGACCGATCTTCTCAAGCCAACGCGTAATATATTGAAGAGGGCCGACAGGACCCTGGTCCAAGAGAGCGAGCTATGATGAATGGGTCACTTTTTCCACTTGTCTAAAGGAACTGCTGGACATGTTAGTGTGATTATCACTTACCTTGAGGACTAGAAATAGTAACCCCCACATCATGGATGTATCAACAGGCCTTAACATCATTCTCACGAAATTCTGTGCAAAGGTCTCGAAATCATCGAGGGTAGGATACAGCAATAGCACAGCTCTTCTTGATCGTTCCTCGGAGCACTGCTCCAGAAGGTGGTTTAATTCATTGCGGAAGTCTTGGAGAGTTTTGATCTGCAATGCACGTTGGTGGTCCTGCCTTTCGAGTTTCTTCTCACATTCGGCCAACGCATCATGCCATGACTGAAGATAAATATTGTCACTAGAGAAGAGGGGTTAGTTTTAGTTAATGCGCTGTCCAAGTTCTAGTAGTGACGAACTATGCCTCCGAGCTGTCTAAAGATAAATCAAGTCCCCGCATCTTGCTTTGGTGGTATTTGGTCACGATTTTTGGTAAGGTAAGCTGTTGGTCAATTCCGGACTCTGAGATGGCTAGTTCGCGAAGTAGCACGTTTAATAACGCTATAGAAGGAAATTACATATCTATAGGTCCTATAAAATTAGAATTTCTCTCAGGAAGGCAGAGCGGGTGGTGCAGATTCATGATGAAGTGTGGCAACTAAGTCATTACCTTAGGTATGTTTCATAGGAAGACAGAGCGAGTGGAGAATGACATGTGATGGCCAGGCATTATGCTTGTACATGGAGCCGTTGCAACCCTCTTATTGGCGGTGATAGGCTGCCCATCACATATCATTTGCACAATTGTGTTCACTGTGTGCTGGTTACCACACCGGTATGACATGGTGTACGTCTTTGCCGAGTTATTGGCGGGATACGAAAACTCTTGCCATCCAGCTGCATATTTATTGCAGCCTATACAGCTACACGAAACAGGATGTTGACCGACAATTGGAGGGGTGAACGTATGATTAAAGCCTTAACAAATACATAGATGTGGCCGGTGAGACTGCTGTGCCAGAACAACCCTGCAAAACAGCAAGGGAGCACTGAGACTTTGTGTGCAGCTGACTACTGGTCTCACTATAAAGTAATGGGGACGTACCTTGAGCACGTCATGGGAAAATAGCGAATGATTCCGAGCATCGCACCGATGACGGATGCAAAAGATGGCACGGAAGACGGCAAAGCGGAAATCCCCCGATGGCGTCCGCCTGTTGACTACACAAATCCACCAAGTTTGACCGATGCCGAGTTGGCTCTTGTCGAAGCATGTGCCTGGGCCAGGAGCAAGCCAACAACTTCTACCGCAGGCCTACGTATCTTTGCTCGGGTGGTAGAAAGGCGCATGTCGGAATACGAAGGAGCCTCAACAACGTTGCTAGATGCTCTGTGGAGGTCTCAAACCCGAGTGGCGACTTATTTAGAGAGGCAATACAGAACATCTGCTATAATCTTGGCATTGCTCACCAACAACCGAAGAGCGCAAACGACAATCGATGACATTGCCAATGAATTGTTTCAACATTTCAACGTCCCTACAGTAGAACAACAAGGGCATCAAAACGCCTTGCGTCATTTAATATTCGCTTCTATTGGCTGGTCTACAATGCTGTACACTGCCACCATCCCACCAACTGATGAAGTCTTCTCCACAGTAGGTAGAGCAAGCCCACCATCAAAAAACAACACCCTGGCAGAGATGGCACAGAGACCAATAGGTGCTCTCCTAAGAAGCCAAGGCATCATGCCCATCGCCTGTTCCCCGCGTGTGGACCAACAGAACGGCCCACCAGTACTTCTCACTGTTACATATCTGAATTTCTTTGTCTTGTCCCGCCTTGGTGATGTCAGTATTACCTGGGTCAATGACCTTGCGTGGCACTGCCACTTTGATCGCTACAGTAAGAAAAAAGTGTTGAAGTTGTTCCGTCTGCCCTCGCTTCTCATTGGAACGCTTCTGTCGGATGATGACAACGTTCTTTGGAGGTACGTAGGAGTTAGAGAGTGCGAGATCAGGTTTCACAGGCCGTCAAAATAGCGGTAGTTAACACAAAGCATATATAGGCTATTCCAAACCCACGTCTGTCAAAATGGATGCAGTCGTGCCTCTCCAACGATGGTTAGATCATACCTGATAGAAATATTGCTAAGCTACCGTCTTCTCTTTGGGCAGCATCGCAAATCTCGTGAAAGGTTTCACAGTTCGGAGAGGAAGCAAGCAGAATGGGGAGGTGCCTCAGATCCTCTTCTTCTGGCATTATGTGGCGATGAGACGATGAGTAGCTTTGAGGAGATTAGAGACATTATCAGAGAGCGCGGAACTTATAACTCTACGACAAGTTTCCCACACTTGGGTGCAAGGCTGTTAGAGCTGGCTGAGTACAGCAGCAGCCAGCGCCCACGGAATTTTCTCGAAGTCTGGAGCGACCAGCGAGATCCCGAAAGGTATTTCACATTCAAAGCTCTCATTGTCGTGGGTATAATATCATTTGTCTTGAGTGTTTTCCAGATCCTGATCGGAATTGCCCAAGTCATCATAGCTATTAAGCACGATTAACATAATATACCTGGCCCTATACTTCTGCCCAAGTATTCTTTTTACCCTCGAGAGAAGGCGCTGAGAGCTGGTTCTCCATGACGTCGAAGGCTGCGCGCGTCTCAGTGCAAGTGCTTTGACCAAGGGGCTACTGGTACTCACTGGGTTAGCATCTTTGCAAGCTGGAAAGCTTTGAGCTTGAGTTGAAATTGGTATAAGATGACCAGGTAGATGAAAGAGAGCAGGATAAATAGAGATCTAATGAGCGGCTTATCTCAATGGCAAGGGAGTCATCGGCGTGAAGGTTTATCGAGTTTGCCTTCTACATAACTATATCTTAAGCTAGCAGAGCTTATTTTTACCTTTTATATTGATCATATTAAGATATTAAGTCTAAGATCTACCATTGTAACTTATAGTTATATATAATGCTTGCACTTCCATTCCAGCGCCAAAAGGTACCACTTTGCCCTTCACCCTCTTCGGAAATGACATGAAGCATCGCAGATACGCTCTGGTGGATCCCCTTCACTTCCCGGCTGAGCTCAACTCCAGCCATTTCACTAATCGCATGGTCAATATGGGAACCTTCAGTGAGTGGCAAATTTCACCTACGCTTTTACATCTCCGGAATGAAGCGCTAAAATGACATTCTCGCGTTTCTTCTTCTGACCCGATCGTTTCAGCTCGGCCGCCATGTGGCGTAACATCTGGTTGATCACACTCATAGGCGCTAAATCCATCTTCAAAACCCAAGAACGAAGTTGCCGACCCCGAATCAAATGAGATGGAGATAGTCTGGGGGCGGAGAATCCACGCTGAGATTGAGCAGCTTCTGCGTGCAAATGGTGTGACCGATGGTGTTGGTATCTCGATGGAGAGCAAAGTCAGAGAAAAACACTCCCGTCACTCGCCCTGGGTACTTCAACACTCCCGTATTAAGCACGGTATTTCCAAACTTCATGCCCTTACCAACAGCGTTCCTCATTCTTCCTATGAATGCTTCGTTATTGTTATTAGTGCTTCACCTTCTGATACTGTGCCGGACAAGTGCTGAAAACAACGCACAGTGATACTTTCATCGCTCGAGATATCACACTACTCTACGATACATTTCTCTTGAGCATTTTTTTCAAGTAATCAACTTGAATAGTCGTGGTGCAACCGACACAATGCGAACTGCTGCAACCACCTACTCTCCTGACTCCAGCAGTTGCTGGCCAAACTCCAAGCCTATTCCTCGAGAGGTGCCTACAACCACCCAGGTCCGACCGGCCATGGCTTTGTCGCCCCCCCCCCAATGTTCAGGCGTTGACATGAACTAATATGCCCATTACCACCTAGCTATGGCGCGTGCTAGTGTGAGGATGGGCCTCAGACTGCTTTAGAGTTGGACATATTAGAAAATGGCCAAAATCGGGACCCGGACTGGGTTTCGCTCCACGTCAGTTTGTCAGCTCACCAAGGCGCTAATAAATGTGCTTAGTTTTTCCCAGAAAGGAAAAACGCACCGTATTACTGGGGTCATATCCGATTATCGCCATCGAGGCAGGATCGAGCGTCTCCATAAAGGGAGCACCGGTGCTCGAACATGTCCCTACATCTGAAACTGTAAAAGCTCACATCCATCAGCGCTCGTTTCATTAAACCCAACCATCATTCGAGCTACGATGAGTCGCACAGCACTTGTCACGGGCGCCAGCGGGTATATTGCCCTCCACGTCGTCAACTTTCTTCTTCAGGATGGGTGGACTGTCCACGGAACGGTCCGAAGTCTGAAGAACGCTGAGAAAATAAAGCCTATCCTAGCATTAGAGAAAGGTTCCCCTGGCACGCTTCGGCTTTTCGAGGCGGATCTGCTTGATGAAGGCTCCTTTCTGGAGTCCATGCAAAGCTGCGATGTCGTCATCCACGTCGCATCGCCTTGCATAATGCCAGAGCACATCAAAGATCCCCAAAGGCAACTAGTTACACCAGCCCTTGAAGGTACACGCAACGTACTAGATAGCGTCAACAAGACGCCGTGCGTACAGCGGGTTATTCTGACATCATCCGGTATGTATACTATTGTTCAACGCCAATAGCTCGTACTAACACGATGTACAAAGAGGCTGCTATGCGAGGTAACGCTGATGAAGCATTATTGATGGAAAACCACACCGTCCATGAAAGCTACTGGAACGAAGCAAGTTCTATAAGCCATAATGCTTACGCTTACTCAAAAACATTAGCAGAGCGAGAGGCTTGGAAGATGGCCGATGCCCAAAACAGATGGAAGCTCGTTACCATATGCCCAAGCACAGTTGTGGGACCCAGCCTCACTCCGAACTCGGCTTCAGCAAGTCTGGACCTCATTGAGCAAATCATGAATGGAAGTATGATTTTTGGAGTGCCTGATATGAACATGCCTATGGTTGACGTACGGGAGGTGGCACTGGCCCACGTCCGAGCTACCAAGATACCAGAAGCTCGTGGTAGATACATACTCTCGAGACACGAGGTCACTAGTCTCTTAGAGATTGCGCTCATTATCCGATCGGTTCACAACTACCGCTGGATTGTACCCTTCTGGAAGCTTCCTGACTGGATTGTTCGGCTTACTGCACCTCTTGTCGGCGTGACAAGAAAGTATATAGACTGTAACCTTGGAATCAAGTTTACGGTGGACAATTCGAGAAGCAAGTCGGAGCTCGGGATAGAGTACCGGTCTTTGGATGAGTCTCTAACTGATCAGTACAATCAACGCGTCCTTGATAAAGCAAGGAAATAGGTTGCCGGAGTTTTTACCAATTGTCTTTGTGTTTTACTTCATTAACTTGGCAGTGCAATGGGAGTGTAGAATATGAACTCAAGGCTAGATCTTAGAGTCTACAGGTCATCTCACTTCGCTCCCTAATAATAATTTACGGAAGAACTAAAGCACCGCTTATGATCCTGGTGAGAGTTTGAGTATGAAGTAAAAAATAGCAATAGAAGATGCCAGACTCGACGTCCCAACACAATGCATAATACCGCCTATGATACCACAGTAAAATTGATCTGGCCCAAAGCTTTCACTCCCTTCAACAGTCATTGCTAAACGGACAGTGCGTCGCATGCCTATAATATACGATATATGCGGATGAGAGTTCGAGTACAAAGTAAAAAACAGCAATGGAAGATGGTAAACCCGACATCTCAATACAAATATACGGTATGAAACTCCTACTTAATATAAATAACGTGGCTATCGCGTAGCTATTAGTCTGAGAATCTCTGCTGTCTTCTCTGGGCTGCTCAGAAAAGGGAAATGCCCCGTAGGGAGTTTCTCCACATGATCAAATTCTCCCATGGCGGCAAATCTTTCTTGGACCGCTGGCGGAACGACTTCATCCTTCTCGCAGAGGACATACGTCTTAGGAATCCTTAAATCCGTGGTGATGAATTCGGAGACATACCCTAGACTTTTCCGACTTTGACTCCCTAGAACACTCGTCCATGCCAAATCCCGCTCCTCGCTTGGCAGATCGCTAAAGAAAAGAGGCTTTGCCGCAGTTTGAATGTGGAAAATACCTTCCTGAATTTTCAAAGTAAGCCTTTGGGGTACTGCTTTTCGGAGTACTGCACGATACATACCTCATGAACAAAATAAGACAATGCAGGTGCATCTTCCAAGTTTCCCCTTACGTTTCGTCCGCGCGTCCCATATGCGAACCCAGCAACCACGGCATACGCCGTTATGCCTCCCGGCAGCCCTTTAGCCGAACGCTCTTCAACAGTTTGTCCCTGAGTTGCCAACAGGGCAGGCAAGCTTCCGTAGCTGTGCCCGACAATGACTGCCTTGCGGCCCTGGTCTAACCACGCCGTCAAGTCAGCGAGTATTGTCTGCACATCATCCGGAAGATCTTTGTTCGCAAGTTCCTGAAATTCTTGCGTTGCGGGGTCCTTTGACGACAGGCTCTCGGTCACTTTGAGCCGCGGAACAATGACCTCGAAGCCGTCGTTCTGCAGTATATCCGCGACTCTAGCGTAAACACCGGGGCTACAGAACCCGCCAGGCACGATGGCGATCACTGGCTTGGTTCGCGACATGATGGCTGCTTGATGTGGAAAGAGAAGGGGCAAGATACTTGGATATCATATAACTTTAAGTTAAGAGCAGAGGGGAGTCAGCTTTTATATTAGTATAGATTATATATATTCTTTTACTAGTATTAAGAAGTTAGTCTCGGTGCTATCGGCCCTTTTTACCAAGTTATTGACGTGGCACTCCTCATCACCTTTCGTTAAAAAGGTAGCTCGTAAGCTGAGGTAAGCGCTAATATCTAGATCGGGTGAACTTGAAAACAAAATCACTGGGAAGACGCCACACCCCGATAACTTGGGTTATATCTTGCTGCAATGTACTCCATGTGAACAACACTATTTTAGGAAAAATCCCTCAATTGACCATGTGATCTCAATATATTTGATTATATTTGATTCAATCGTATGCATATCGCGATATTGTTTGATGGTCAACCGGAGCGACCTCCAACAAAGTGGATTTTAACTTCCCCGAACCCAAGGGTTATGCTCTCCACAAGCTAATGAAGCCATGTTGCCTTCAAGGTGGTATCGCTCGTAGTTCTGGCCAGCTCGCCCCGTTTCATTGCACTTCTCCCCACAGTGGATACGACTCTAGACAAACCACCTCCCAAAAACTGAAAGGTCTTATCTTCCCTAGTCCAGTCTTCCCCTGTATATTAGAGCCAGGGGCTAGGGGCCATGCGTTCATTGATAGTATGATACGAGCGTGCATAATGATGAAAGCCGGTTTGTTAGACATGTTGATACGTAAGGGTTACCCTGCTGCTAGCTCGGGTGTGATTTCCTTCAAAGCCAAAGAAAGATATGGATGGCTGTTACTTCATAACTTCTAACTTTAGCGAGCTGCGGAGTTCAAATTGCAGGAATAATTAAAATATGGTTAAATGAACTGGGATGCTTAGCTTGTAAAAAGACCCCGGACGAAAACGCGCTACGAACAAAACAGGAGGACTCCGAACTCAGGCCAAATTTTACGCTTTCGCTCCACTGGCGCCCCGTCTTCTCGCGGTATCAGAATGCCTAGAGCCATCGGATACACCTCTATTTGGACTATAGACCAGTCGATCGGGTGCAGTGCTCACTGTTGTCGGGCATAAGGCCTCACAGGGTTCATGTCTGTGCGTGAAATCATTATACGCTTCGATCAATGGACCCGGGTTTAAATAAAGCTCATCGACTGGCCACCCCTCTTGGTCTCGCCCCTTGATACTTACATCGTCATATGCACAGCTTGAATTAACATCATGACGATGAAAAACACCCTTCATATCAGCCTTCTGGCATTGTCTATGGCAGGAATAGCCACCTGCCAGAATAACACCAATGGGCTAGCACAGAAGATATTTGCAGCGATCGATAGTCGCAACGATCAATTGAAAACCGTTAATCAAGAGGTAACTTACCACTACCCAACGTTTGGAAGCATTCTTGTTTAACTTGAGGAGGAAACAGATATGGGCGAACCCAGAAACAGCCATGGAGGAAGTCCATGCCCACGAGATTTTGACCAATTTCCTCGAAGACCAGGGTTTTACGGTAACCCGATCAGCGTTTAATCTGAGTACAGCGTTTAAGGCCACCTACTCCAGTGGTGAAGGACGTTCAGTTTCCTTCAACGCTGAATATGACGCTCTACCCGGTATTGGACATGCCTGCGGGCACAATCTCATTGCAACGTCTGGTGTCGCTGCCGCGATTGGTGTGAAAGAGGCCCTGGAGCACCAGGGGGTCAGTGGAAGTGTTGTGTAAGCATCCTTCATTTCTACCAAGGTGTTCTTCTCAATGATGATTCTAATACGGGCGGGAATATTTAGCGTTTTGGGAACTCCTGCCGAGGAAAGTATCGGAGGAAAAATCAAGATGTTGGATGCCGGTGCTTATGAAAACTTGGACTGTAGCTTGATGGCACATCCCGGAAACAACGCATACGGGGCATGGAGCAGAACTCTTGCTTCCTGGAGAGCCAACGTTACCTGGACTGGAAGTGAGTGTGCCCTCCGTTCATATCTCCTCCCTGGTGACATTTAAGGACTGACTTTTTGCACGCAGAGGCATCACATGCTGCACTGGCTCCTTGGCAGGGACAAAATGCCTTGGATGGATTTGTTGCTGCATATCAAATGACGGGACTATACCGCCAGCAGCTGATGGCAACTGATCGAATTCATCACATCATCAAAAACACAGACAACCTCATCACAAATGTTATCCCGGACAGGGTAGAAAGTGAATGGGGCGTTCGTGGTACCAATCGGTAAGACTTCCGCATCAACAGCTATTTTCATGTGGTTCCAATTGCTGAGAAGTTAATCCATTTGGAAAGAGCTCGACAAGCTGCCGTCATTGAGCAGTTGAACTCCATTGTGAATGGCTCTGCTAGCGGTACAAACACAACTGTTTTTCTCACCAAAGTCCAAGACTACTGGGACCAGAATCCTAGCTTCCAACTGGCTAAGACCTACTATGACAACCTGATCGAGTATTTTGACCCATCGAAAGACGAGTCTACCTCAAAATTCAGCATCTCAACTCCAGAAGAAGAATATGAAGCCGGAGGTAGCCCATCGGCCTCATCCGATCAGGTGAATTCTCGCTGTTAGATCCGGGCAATGTACTTTACCTTGCTAACATATTGAAACCAAGGGTAACGTTTCGTGGTTCCTGCCATCTATCCAAGTGGGATTCCCTATTGGTGGCAGCGCCCCGAATCATAATAGCGGATTTACCAAGGTCGCTGGGACTGTAAGTCGTCCTCAACACCCCTCCACATGAAGTTTAACAGATGCATTTAGATGCTAATTCTAAACTTAGGACTTCGCTTTTGATCAAGCCATCACTACTTCCAAGGTCCTTGCTTTGACCGCTCTCGAAGTACTCCAAAATGCCACTTTCGCAGCGGCTATGAAAAAGGAGTGGGAGGAAATGATTGCCGAATTGCAATTCTAGCTAGAAGAAGGCATATTCATAGATTCTGGGCCCAATTTAATGTGTATTTATTGATATGCGATCACAGAACTGTGTCGGATTTAGTGTGCTGATTTGAATGTCACACACTTCACAAGTGGACTCAATATAGTATAATGAAGCAATGACCTCGTCTTAAGGTCTAATCTCTTAACGAAGCATCCTACTTTGCAATGGGTCATTTCCTTACTGCAACATCTCAGTTGCGCTGGTTAGTGCCTCTGCAATGGTGTTCCAGGCAGCCAATCTAGCAAACATAACGAAAGTCCTTCTTTTCTTTGTCAGTCAAGTCATCGAGGCTATGATCCTCGACATCATTCGTATGTGCGATGACTCCGTACACCCGATCTCTCTTCCTGTTCTCCCATTTGATCCCAATATAGTACATTCCCATCAGCGTGACAGCAGCACTTTCGACACCAAGAATTGTGTTATACCCCGTCTCGTAATGAGGGGCTTCAGTAGCCCTGAAAGTCTGTGGTGCTACAATGTTGGCCACACAATAAGCCAAGAATACCATCGCGTTCACCACCACTTTCTTAGTATGCCCCGATGTGTTCGCCATTGGAAGACTGAGAGCAACAGCATAGGGGCCCCAAAAGAAGTAGAATAAGTAGTAAGCTGCAAGAAGGCCTCCTTGGTTGGAAGATGGGAGCTTCCGGATGACAATAGAGCATGCCAATGGGACGAGACAGCAGACGGCTGCTGATAAGCAACGTGTATCTTTCCAGTACCGAGGGGGTAGTGCAGCGAGGATGGATGAGACAGCCTGAATGACACCAGTTGGCATGCCAAGGAGCACTGTATTCAGCTTGGAGAAACCAAAGCCAGATACAATTTGCGCAGAAAACGTATTCAGGCCACCATTAGCCACATTCATACAGAAGAAGAAGAGCGTGATGACCCAGGACTTCCAGTCAGTAAGAGCTTCGATGACTTGGTACCACTTGAATTCCTGTTGGAAAGATCAGCCACTATGATCAATGATTAATATCTTAAGATAGGGCTCATTTTGTTTACCGTGCCAGTGACACCAGTGTTGTCCTCCGTCTTGCGTTGTACTGCTACGTGGGCTTCTTTTTCGTTCAGGAAGCGTCCGGCTTCCGGCCGATCTGGGAAGAAGAAAAGCATGGAGATGGAGAACAAGAGGCTAATGCCTCCCAGAACGAGGAACAGAAGCCTCCATGACGCGATTGCTGTTGAAGTGTGACCGATGCCATAAGAAACAAGGCCGACATAGATCTAGGAAAATGTAATCAATAATCTGGGCATCCATGCTGGATTTCAATCAAGGGATACATACGGAAGCAACGGTGGAGCTCCAGATGGCTACCCGAAGAGGCTGTTCCCGCTTTCGGTACCACATAGTTGTTATGAGTGTCAAGCTAGGAAGAGCTGGAGCCTCCATCATACCCATAACAAAGCGTAGGGCCATGAGCCCAGCTGCGTTATGTGTTACGGCCATCAACAAAGTTGTGACTGACCAGCCTATTCCCATAACGGCGAGGAACTTGCCAATCGGGAGCTTAGCCATTAAGTGAACACAGGGGAATTCGGCGACAAGGTATCCAAAATAAAATATAGATCCAACTTGATATCAATTAGCCCAATATATTCCGCGGTCAATTCTGTGAACATACCCCAGCTATAGTCTTGTCCTTGAAGGTTGGTGTCTTGAATCATGCCGTACAGAGCTGCGTTTGAGACAATGACTTTCTGCAAATGGCTCGTGTTAGTTCATTTGACAGTTTTAACTTTCACATCAGATGGGACTCACATCGACTGCAGACAGGACAGCATATCCCCAAAGATAGGGCATAATTCGAAAGTCAATCTTCCTGACCAGCTTCCGTACGTCATCTTGACTATAAGCAACTGGGGCGTTTTCTGCTACGACGGAAACAGAATCGGGTTTGGAAGCCTCTATGACCTCTTTTTCGGCATCGGTAAGAGCAGAATGGGAAGCCATCTCTTTTTTCTAACTGAAATGCCAACGTGGGTTAAGGATCACAGGATATGCAGATCCAAGTGTCCGAGCCGAGGTGGTTCATATAAATTGTAAGCCCTGTCTTAATCAAGTCCGGGGACAACGCAGCAGCCACTTCCATGTCCTACAAGGCCTCACGTGTGAATAGTCTGGTGGACGGCAATGTTGAGAAAAGTCCGCCAGAGCATGCTGAAATGATACACAACAACTAAAGATTCATGACCCGACACGTGTGACCAATCAGTCTCTTATCAGTCGAACTACATTTACAAGCCACGGGATCCACAGCTACCATTAGTTCGCGGACAGAATCAAGAGCGGACATTCCAGGCATTGTGCGACATGAAGCGGCTTGTGCGTTTCCCGCTGATTCGGGAGGAAGAAGACAGGGATCTTGACCGATGGAGGTTTTTAGGTACGCTGTGGCGGCCCCTCGGGAGTCTTTTCACACTCATTGCCCCTAAGTGAATTCTCCCATACATCTGTTACCCCTATGTGCGTGATATTCTTTCAGCCATGTCGTTGAAACAAGTCGATCTAAGTGAGGAAGACCTGGCCTTTCACAAAGAGGTCGGACTCATCAATAGATGGTGGCAATCCCCAAAACAAAGTCATGTGCAGAGGTATGTTTATCTCGTTGAGGCAAATCTTTCATGTTATTAAAGCTGAGAAACATCGATTCGGTGTACACAGGCCTTATACGGCCTCTGATGTCGCCTCTCTCCGTTCATCACTTGGAGTTGAATACCCTGCAAGCGTTCAGGCTCTAAAGTTGTGGTCGCTATTACATGAACACCGCCGAAATGGGACTGCTGAAATGACCTTTGGCATGATCGATCCCGTAATGGCCTCACAAATGGAGGGCCAGCAGACGATTTACGTTTCTGGTGCCCTCTGTGCCTTTTCCAAAGCCGACTGCATTGGTCAAGATATGAGTGACTATCCCTGGGATACAGTCCCCAAGGCGGCCTCGACGATCTTCAAGTCGCAGGTCTATCACGACGCTAGGCAGCGACAGGATCGGATGCGAAGAAGCAAGGAAGAGCGAGCGACCATGTCTCATGCGAGGGACTATTTGCTTCCCATTGTCGCGGATGCAGACATGGGGTTCGGGTCACAAACTGCCACCATGAAACTTGTCAAACGGCTTGTCGAAGCGGGCGTGGCAATGTTTCATCTTGATGATCTAAGTCTATCTGGCAAAAGGTTCACCGACGGAGGCGGCCATACGGTGGTTTCCACAAGAGAGTACTTGCGTCGTCTTGGAGCTGCTCGGCTACAGCTTGACATCATGGGGTGGGTTCATGAAAATAAGTGACCAATTCTTCCTTTCTCTTACTTACTTAACCTTGTAGAGCCGAAACACTTATTCTCTGCCGTTGTGATATTGACGGGGCTCAGTACATCACCACCGACATCGATCCGAGGGATCACCCATATATCCTTGGAGCAACAGTTGATGTAGAGCCACTTGCTTCGCTGGGCAATGCGAGTTCAGCCCGAGTCAAAGAGTGGAAGAGACGTGCGAAAGTGAAGACGTTTGACGAGACGGTTGAATGCAACGCAACTGAGGAGCAGATCACAGAATACCATCATCTCTTAAAATCGAAGTCAGTCTGCTCACTTCAAGAACGTCAGAGGATCGCTGGGCAAGTATTAAAAGGCAAGGAGGTATTTTTTGATTGGCAGTCGGCCAGGACTTGCGATGGCCGATATCTCTATTCTCCTTCTGTCCAGGCGATTCTCGACCGCAGCCTGGCCGCCGCACCGCTCGGTGACGCTACATGGGCGAGGATGGATTTGATTATGGACAAACTGGTCAAGTTCCACAATGAATTCCGGAAGGTGTATCCTGAGCGCCTGTTCGCCTGTGGGTACTCGGCCACGTTCCCATTTCCCAGTATGGGGTATTCGGACGAGGACGTGAAGAATTTCCATCGGAGCCTTGCTAAGCTGGGAATTGTATGGCAGGTGCAGCCAGGATTTGCACTTCAGGGTCTCAATTATACGACAAAGAAATTCTCTTCCATGTTTGGAGAGGAAGGCATCGGAGGATATGTTCGAGACATACAGGAACCAGCTATGAAGGTAGACACTGATGGTTATGAGAAGATGCAGTGGAGTGGGGGTTACATCACAGACGCATACGGAGACCTTTTGGCTGGATTATAAATAAATTATGAAATGTCTAGGCAGAGTGGCTAGAAATATCGAAAGACTAAATGTATAGAAATATGCAATCGATGTGCTCACTCAACGACCATGGCCCTAGATTTGCTCACTTAATATACAGCGTTATAATTATTACATGCAATCGTACTGGTGCTCGTACTGAATCCACTGAATTTCCGTCACAGAAGGAGGAGTGTACTGCGGTCGTGGACCACGCATCATTGTACGCAACATGGATACCACCTTTGGCTGTGCCTTCAGTTCTTCCAGCTCGACTATCATCTGATCCAGGTCATCTATATTATCTGGTGACAATGACCACTGCTGGAATGGGTTTCCAAATTCGCTTATCGGGAGTGACTCTGTCAGTAATTCAAAGACATTTCGCAACACGTGCGCAGGTTCCCATCGAGTTGAAAAGTCTACCAAAGTGGCCATCCCAGAGAAAAGAGAATGACTAAGAGCACGTTGGTCGTAGAACTCGGCTTGTTGGTGAGTTGGCGTAGCCCAAAGGCAGAATATGACCGTTATCGCAGCCTGAAATTGGTGAAGCAGCTGGGAGAAATGACTTGATTAGAGCCTACAATACGCATTGTGATTAAAGAAAACAAGAACATGGGTCTTTCGCTTACTGCAGTCCAAGTGTGGCAGGTTGTCTGGTCCTTAACCCTCAACCGGCGAAAGGTGATTAGAACGGAGCAAGCAGCCGCAACTAAGTGTCGAGAATCCCCACTGCGAACAGCAAGTAGTGGGTTGGGGAACAGAGATATCACGGTATAATTCGCGAGCTTACGCAGCCACTCTAATGACAAGAACCTCCTTTGTCTGTCTAGTGAAGTGTGAAGGCCGGCGATACCTTGGGTCCATCGCTCCAAATCGTGCTTCGGCCGTGATCTCCACAAGTTCGGTGTCGGATTACCGTTCTTCAATGACTCTCGTTCCAGCTTATTGGTAATCCGTAATATGCGGTACTGAATTCGACGGAGCCAAAACATGTGCTCCTCCAAAGCAACATCGAGGGGTGAGGGCGATACATTGTTGTAAAAGAACATTGATTGGGCTTCCTCGGAGCTGATGCTCGAATTCTCATACTCCTCTAGGTTCTGAGCAATGTCCATTAGCGCCTGTATTCGTCTCACCACATGTGTGTTATTCAACTAACTTCATCCTGCATATCATCATTGTCGAAGCAAACCTTGTGGTCCATCGAATTAGACAGCAAAATGTCAATGACAACGCATGTGCGTAAGGTCATCTTGTGGATGATTTCTTCCATGTCGCTGCCTCGTCCAGCTGTTTTTGACACCCTATTCGCCTTCTTTGACAGAGCGCAATTTCTAATAGCCTCGGAGGCTCGTTGAAAGAGCTCACCAACCGAGTCGAGATGCATTGCATGAACCGTGAGCAGTAGAGATGACTGGGTCTTGAGAGCTGCCGATTCACCCTGGGTGCTAAGACTGGGGTATTTCCCCATCGCACGTTGATAGGCAGACTTCATCAAGTATTAGCTGGGCGGATATATTGAAGAATGGCCTTATCCATCGCTCTCACCTTTGATACGTTCATGTGATCGAAAGACGGGTCGGAGCTATTCGCGAGCAGCGCACCAATAGAGAGGACCTACATCCAACTGTATTAGGGCACGAAGGTCATCTATCCTAGAACTGGACAATTACTCACCATGTCAACGAAGAAAGCTCTCCACCCCAGTGTAGTCTCGTTGCCCATCGCCCCGGTCCAACCCTTCCACCAGCTGTTCCATTGCCTCTGGTGGAGGAACGGCCACATTGGATGGGCGCTGGTGAAGTACTCGCCCACGTAGCGACTTGCCACTGCTTGAGATGTGTATGACTTCGATAACTGTTCCGACATCATGTCCAAGTATAAGCCACTCTGGTCGGCGGCCTCTGCCTCTTCAAAATCGTCCACCGGATCGCACAGCTCTGTAACCCTGTCTTCCACACGAATCTCAGGAGACTTTGCGGCGAGGGGCCAGTTCTGTACTAACTGATCTACGTCAAAAGTGCCAAATGACAATCTGACATCCTGGAAAGTGTTGAGGGAGGGTTCTTCAAATGGGTCATTGAGCCAGCCATTCGCAGCATTCAGACCTTCCGGAGATGGTAGATCTAGGCCTGGTGGACTTCCCTCGCCGACACCGTCCAGGGGTTCAGATATCTGAATGAGGGACTCATCGGCTGCATTCTCTGGCGATAGGTCCTGCAGATGATCGCTGGCTATAGAAGGATTGGATTGCCTGAGCTTGGTCTCGAGGTTTGCTATCCGGTCTTCGAGTAGACGAACGTAACTTCAGTAGAACGGTACAGTTAGACTTTCTTACACGGTGACCTACTTCTTGGCATCCGATGGAAAAAGAATCTTACCTTGGAGAAGGGTGACCAGGCCCCGCCTTCTTTGGCTTCAGTGGAACGCAGTCTGGGGCGACGACATCTCGTTAGCAACGGGTCAAATGCCGGGCAAATCATATGGTAATCGCCCACCTGAGTTTGTCCGAGTGCATTCCCCGCATCTTGGACGCCGCTTGTCGCACTGCAGGATAGAAACCCCGTCATCAGCTGCCCAAGTTCCGCGGGGTTGTTGATTGCTGTGCGTCAAGCAAGCCAAGGGGCCCAACCCACCTTCTTCTTCCTACGCCTGCATCGACCGCAAGCAATGTCGCGCTGAGCCGGGGCCCAAGGAGCATTCACTGGCTCCATGTTGTAGTAGTCTCCCGAGTCTTCATAGAAGTCCGAGATACGAAAAGGCAGAATTGCATGCGGCGTTTGACTGGGCCGGAAACAAGACCATGTGCAGGCAGTCCCGGGTGGACATCGAAGAATGGGTGCCTGCAAGCCTGCCAGACTCTCTAGCACCGGCAATGCCTTGCCTGAGGGGTTTGATAAGCAGCGAAGCCAGATAAGAAGGCCCAGAGCGGACAGTCTGAGGAATGTCCGACACCTGGCCCCATTACATGACTCAGGCTGTCATTAACCGAAGATTTTATAGGTCCCACTGTCACTCAATAACGAGCACTAAATACTGGGTGGTACACTAGGCTGAGTATTTCCTGATGATTCCGCCACAATAGACTTTGCGTAACCAGATCAAGATCATGGCTGTGACTGGCAAGCCGCGCAAACTTCGCCTCGTGACGCTGCGATGCTTCACCATCCCGGACGTTATCGCCCAAGAGCGGGGTCAGTTTGATAGAATCTTCGCCGACTGGATAGATCTGGCGGCTGAAGAGAGAAATAACAAGCACGGCCCATCTGAACAAATCGCCGTGGAACACCAGGGTTATGATGTTGTCGACAAGGATGAGTACCCGCAACATTTGGACAAAATTGATGGTCTCATTATCACGGGCTCTACAGCGTCAGCATATGATGATGAGCCCTGGGTTCATAAACTTTCTACGTTCATTAAAGGTAGGCTAGACGTCGTCCTTACCGCGCCATTTAAATGCTCACAACTGCCTGCAGACATATATATTAATCATCCGAACGTAAAAATCTATGGCGGATGCTTCGGTCATCAGATTGTGTCTCAAGCATTGCTAGGATCATGTGGCGTTCGGGTTGCTCCCAACCCCAAGGGATGGGAAATTGGAGTTCACGAGGTTGGGTTGAATAGACCTTTCGTGGATAGGTTCCCTGAACTTCTTAAAGCTGGAAATCTATCCTACCAATTTCTTCATCAGGACAATGTCTCCGTTGAGCAGGCTATGTTGCCAGCAAACTGGGTTCAAGTCGGGACCACGCCGTTGTGTGAGGTCCAGGGGCTCTTTGATCCTGGTCATGTTTTGACACTCCAGGGTCACCCCGAATTTGATTCATATATCAACAAATTGAGCACGGCGTCTCTGGCGAGGGCGAGAGGGTTTTCGAATGAGGAGATGCACCATTACTCACAACTCATTGAACGAGGCGATTCGCGACAACTCGCCGGCCAATTGGTCCTTGAATTCTTCTGCCAGACCAGTTGAAAGAGACCATTCTAAAACGTAACTTGATAAAATATAGATAAATTATGCATAATTGATGGTCATTTCCCTTCATAAGATTGGAAAATATCTCTCTTAAGCGGGTTCATCCCCTATGAAGTGAGAAAGGTCCTGATGGAATTGGGCAGCAGGAATTGTTATTGTTAGATATATATTCATTGTGTTGAGATGTCAGGTTTGGCATCTTCTATTGCTGTTTGACTTTATACTCAAAGTCTCACCTGGACTGTTAGACATACAGGGTAGGTAGGTTAGAGAGACATCTACATCTAGGCAGAGAGCGGAATTGAAAAGACTTGAGTAGACTCTAAATTGAATGAAACATTGCATAACATAAGTATCGAGGAGTAACAATTTTTTCCCTTTTGCCCAAATGAGGTGAAGTTCCGATGCTTAGCGACGGTGTCCTATTGTCATGATACGAAGGGAGCAGCCGGGAACTTGGTTGTTCTTAATCTAAACGGATTTACATTATGGCGTATCAGCCTGACAATTCTTCAAGATTCCATTAGATATTTCTACCCATGGAATGCTACGCTGCCTTAGGTGGTGCACTCTGATCCATTATTCTGTCAGTTTTTGATACACTCTCTCGGGGCGGGAAGATATTCCCTACAGGGAAAATGTGGTAAAAATCGATAAGGATCTTTCCATCATCAAAGCGCTTGAAATGAACTCTGGCTGCCCATGCCATCTCACCCGTGGTGGAATCATCATAGATGTACTTGCTGACTCCATGAAGCATCACCTCATCTGGGGCCTGGCAGCTAAAAGGGAAAACTTTGGCAACCACATGCTGTCGGGATGCTTGGCCCTTCCAGGAGCCTAAATTTACTTTGCTAATCTCTGTTTGGGTTAGGATAGTTAGCATTTAAACTCATTTCCCAGAAGCTAGGTTTCTGAGCGGACTTGCCTTCACGTCCTGTGACGTCGGTAGTTGCTTTTTTCATAATCGCATCCTCGGTGAAGCAGGCTGCCCAAGATGATGGATTCTCCTTATCGTCCGAAAATGTGTAGAACTTTTGGATGAAATCGGCCAGGGGCTTATCAAGCGTCGCGCTGTCGTATTCAAACGCATGGGCAGCAAAGGCTTCAGGAGAGGGCTCCATGGCTACTATTGAGGATGAATTTCGAAACAGGATATTAATTGTGATGGGAATGACGGATATGCAAAAGCACTTTCTTTTGTCGCTTGATTCGGGTTTTGCTTCCTCAAGTACAGTGTCGGAACGTCGGTTCTAACCCGAGTCGGGCTTTGAGCGCACATCGGACACGGCTTATCGTGCCCGACAGACCGCGGACATTGCCTCCGCCATACCGGCAAGAATATTGTAAAGCCATCACTTGCGCATTGTATTTTATTCATTGACCTGTTTCTTAGGGCTCGAGTCACTCAAGCGACGCCTCAAATATTTTCAATTATTTCAACCATTCATACGTTTTACGAGGCAAGAGCCATTAAACAACATGGCTCCCAAGGCTCTCTGTTGTATTTCCGTGGACATTGATGCTGTTTGTGGCTGGCTTGGCTCCTACGGCGGTGAAGATTCCGTGTCGGATATCTCGCGCGGTACGACTCCCAGTATAGCCCCCCTAAGTGACCCTTTCTAATGGAAGTAGGCTATTTCGCTGGTACTGTTGGTGTCCGACGATTACTGGATCTCTTCGCAAAATACAATATCAAGACCACCTGGTTCATTCCGGGTCACAGCCTGGAAACCTTCCCTGAAGAATGTGCTTTGATTAGGGACGCCGGGCATGAAATTGGTATTCTCATTTTACAGAGGTAGCAAGAGTTCGAGGCTAACGTGATTATCAGGACTCCACGGCTACTCCCATGAGAACCCCAAGGAGATGACAATTGAACAGCAAAGGGTTGTTTTAGATAAGACCTACCGTCTATTGACAGACTTCTGCGGCAAGGTAACTGCCCCTCCAGGTTCAGCCATAGTACTAGTCCGGCCATGCTTACGATAACATTTCTAGCCGCCACGAGGATCAGTGGTTCCCTGGTGGGAGACACCAAACGAGGGTGCGGAATTGATGATGGAATACGGTATTGTCATTTGCCCTAAAACAACTGTGCCGCCTTGATGGTGCTGCTCTAATAACATCCCCAATAGGCTTGGAATATGACCATTCCTTCTCACACCATGACGCACTTCCGTACTGGCTGAGAGTTGGTGATAAATGGACAAATATCGATTATTCAAAGCATCCGGACACCTGGATGAAGCCTCTAGAAAGGGGAGAAACGACTGGTCTTGTTGAAATTCCTGCCAGCTGGTACGTTACGCATTCGAATTTCCAGATAAACTCCCATACTAATGAGCTCAGGTATCTTGACGATTTACCCCCAATGGCAAGTATTTCGAAAAAGAGGAAATCAAATATCTACTGACACTATTGCACTGTATTTAGATGTTCATCAAGAACATGGCCAATAGCCATGGATGGGTGCACCCCAATGTAGTCGAAGACCTTTGGAGAGACCACTTTGACTACTTCTATGAGACGTATGACAACTTCTGCTTCCCTGTTACAATTCACCCGGACGTATGCGGTCATCCACATGCTCTAAAGATGCTTGAGAGGTACGATCCATTAACCTTCCAAAACTATGCCTCGACGGTTGCTTGTCTGACAAGAAACTCATAGGATCATCAAATATCTCTTGACTAAGGAAGGGGTGGAATTTGTGAAGATGGAAGATATTTGTGATGAATTCAAGTCACGAAACACTCCGCCAGAAGGAGCCAGGTTACCGGCTGAAGTAGGAGCAAAGTTGAAAGAGTACCAGAGGAAACAACCTTTAGACACTTAAAGTTGAAATACGAGTAGAAACTATACAAGCACATATCAGAGGGTACAAACTAGATTCGGCATCCTGGAAACCTATATAACATTGAAGTTTTGAGCGGAAGAAAGCAATGATAAACTATGGTGGTCAAGTGAGGCGACGAGGATACATAGTTGATGGATGATCATCCTCATCGATTGTTCTGAAGAAACGTGATTCATAATTTTGATGATGCCCGTTTCCTTCCCTCCAATGCTTCAGTAAGCAACGAAACCGCATTAGCCATGCCCCTGTGATCAAGTCATTATTTGAGTCTGAAGACAACATTGGGTCGGATACATACCATGATGCTTGATACCCAGCTCCGGCTGCGCCATAGTTGTGTATGACGAGACCTTTCGACCTTGCCTCAGCTTCAATTCGAGGACCTCCCTTTCTTCCAGGCCGCAATCCGACACCGTGTTTGATAATTTTAAGGTCCTCGGGTTTTCCCAGCTCGGGGGCCAGAGCACAGCATTTTCTCATGATATCTTGAGCAAAATCCATATCCACTTCTCCATTCCAATTTCCATCTTCCCTGCAGCCTCCAAGGACAATACCGCCAGCGAGAGGCCGCTGGAAAACATATGTAGTGTCATTGTCCACCCTTCGTGGAGACCGAAAATACATCCGTTGAAGTGGCTGAATGGGTTGCTCAACAAGAACCGTTTGACCTCGTGTTGGATACAGTGACTTGTCGTTTACACCACCTAAACTATACGAAGACAGCCCCGTGCAGTTGAAGACTGCTGTAGTGGAAGAAGAAATGAACGCGTCATCAACAGAATCGACAGCTGCCTGAATGGTTGCGATTTTTTCTGCCTGGCATTTTCCTAACAACCTATTGAGAGGTATAAGCTAGGGGCTGATAACTGTCGGGCATGGAGCTACTACTCACCACCGCAAATATGTCTCTGTGTTAATAACGAACGTCGATGGCAAATCCAAACCGAACATCGCTCCTTCGGGAAGTTGATGCTGCGTTAGGGGGATTAGCCCACCAACAAGATCATCATACCACACACGCCCAGTACCCTGACTAAGTATCTCGGATTCTTCTATTTTCTGGTCGAAAATCATCCGCAGTGGGGAGGGCTGGATGCCTGCCTCGGGATGCTTGCTTGCAATCTCCTTGAACCGTTCAAAGGTCAGGCGGTCGAATGACTCGAGTAGGCCGTTGTCATTCGCGGAGGAGCACCAATTTCCACCCGCCCATGGAGAACAATATTCCACACTGTAGTCTCCAGGAAAATGCTTTGCTAGAACGCTTATTGGCGTTGTTGGGAATTTGCTTCTCAGAGTCAGGGCCGTCGAAAGGCCGATGACGCCTGCTCCGAGGACAACAAAATTGTTTTGATTAGACATTTAGTTAGAACCGACTGATTGATTGGTAGGGTGAATGGGTTAGAATTTTCAATACCATCCTCCCCTTAAGCTAAATATTGAGAAAATTGAAGGAATATATTGCACTTTGTCTCAGACGTCAGCATTGCGCTTGCGGTGGCATGACGATACTTTGGGCCTTCCGTAGTCGAGAAGACAGCGCCACGCTCGTCGGACGTCTCAAACGAATGTCCGCCCTTATCCGAAGGTCCGCTGAATGCCCGATTGACAACAGTATTACTCGTATTATTAGGTTTGGTCCCGAGATACCATAACACTAGGAAAGCTTCGGTATGGTGACTAATTCATGAAATAGGAATATGGATGCCATAGCAGTTAAAGCACTGATTGTGAAAAGAATAAAATCCTGAAGTTTATTGCTATCATGGCTTGCTATTCACAGAATCTACTTTTCCAATCAAATGCCTTCTCATATGCGTAGCCGATCCTGAGCAATGTTTCCTCCCCGTGAAGACGAGCTACCAGTTGTACAGAGAGCGGTAGCAAGTGGTCACTTGACTTAGTCTTATCTTTTGCCAGGCCAGTCGGAATGGACATTGCAGGGTGGCCGGTTAAGTTGAACTGCATCGTATTCAGCGTTTGTCCGAAAGTTGATGAAATCTGATCCATCGAGGTTGCAGTCTCTCGATCGAAAAGCTTTGGTGCTGTCCAAGGGACACTTGGTAACACTAGAGCATCGACATCTTTGAATACTTTCTCGTACTCTTGGGTAACTAGTGAAAGGTCAGTTTAGCTGCATCGAAAGTCATTGCTCACAGTTAACATCTCTTACCTTTCAACGTCAAGTTCATACATTTCTGGTACAAGTTGGGATATTTCTCTCTTTCGTATACGCCATTGATGAATTCGTTTCTCATCCCAGGTGGTAGGTTGTCCCATTTATCTTGAGTCCATGGGATGATCGTGGCTTGAAATCCAGGAGGGTAATAGCAACGCCGACCATGAGGGTTTCCAAGTGCAACACTTGTCAGTGATTGTCGACACACCCCCATCCACAGACTTCTCGCAGTTATATGACATGGAATCGATACCTCCGTTACAGACGCCCCAAGACTTTCTAGTTGTTTCGAAACGTCGGCCACTTCCCTTTTAATAGTCTCATCCACAAAAGGGGCATCAATAGCCTCAGTGATAACGGCGAGCCGCATACCTGCGAGTGGCTTTGATCCAGGCGGATTCACCACCTTCCTATACCATTCTCGGAGATTAGAGGAATATTTTATCTCACCCAGTTCATGCGCATTCATCTGACGATCATCAAATCCATCTTTACCGGCTATGGCCTCAAGAAGAAGTGCTGTATCCCAAACACTGGTGCACATTGGTCCAACGTGGTCCAGAACTGGCTCACAGCTGATTACACCGGTGTATGGGATAAGGCCAAATGTGGCCTTCAAGCCCACCAGGCCGCAAAAGGCTGCTGGAACTCTAATGGATCCCCTTTGATCGGCACCCAGGCCCATATCAACCTTCACTGGCATGCCGTTGTCGTCGAATGATTTTTGGCTGCCCACAAGGGCGGCAACCCCTGATGAAGAGCCGCCAGCAGAGTATCCTTTTGCCCACGGATTGAATATCGGCCCAACAGCAGCTGTGTTACTAACTGTTGCACAACTGAGAGCTTCGCATGTTGCCGTACCCACGATACGACCTCCAGCTCCTAGGATCCTGGTCACCACTGTTGCATCCATCTGTGGAATCCAGGAAGGCGTTGCGTTTGTGCCATTGGATTGAGGAATCCCGGCTACGCAAATATTATCCTTCAAAACAATAGTCTTCCCTGCCAAAAGGCTGCCGCATTTGGTCCCTGTTGAAGACGGAGTAGTGGTAGATGTTAACGGACCCAGCTTGAAGCGATACGCCCATGGAGAGCCCAAATCATTATCGACTGTTCCAGGCCTCACATTTTCGCAAGGTGAGCGTTCAGGATGGCTCGGAGGGTGATATTCTTCGAGTTTCGATAGTTCTTCAAATGTATCATGCGCGGCAGCTAGGAGGGTGCGAAATGCATCTACCTCATCATCACGAACACGAAACCCAAGCTTGGCTACGGCATCGTGAACATCGCCCTCCGTAACAGGATTATCACTTGAGTCTTGATGTTAGTCACGACGGGAATTCTTTCTTATGCACGAAAGGTAAGCAGCAAAATGCAGCTTTACGGGCAGACTCACGCGGAAAGGGCACTGGGGACAACTGACATGGTTACAGTCCTTTTGGCATGTGTGTTCACCACCAATAAGAGCCCTGCCAGCTCTATTAATATTGGTTTCGTTTATTTGATCTATCTTGCACTTGGCTCATGCCGATTGCTACATTCTCGCCCCTCATTCCGAGGGATGACGGGTGGAGACCAGAGGCGGACTTCGCTCAGAACGTCCGATCAGTGGTGGTGGGACGCTTCGCTGACGCCCAGTGAACTAGACCGAAGCATATATTGGAGCATAGATATTGGCACAGACTGATAAAAGCATCTGAATGGCCAGGGTACCTCGGTCAAATTGCACTCGGTTGTTCGAAAAGGTCTAGGCTCTCTTCAAGTCATTCCCACACGACGGAGGCTTGTCTTTTTTTATTTCTCTCCTTTACGTCTATGAGCAATTCCTAATCATCGACCATTTATCACTATGATCGCAAAGATTAGCGAGACCCTTGAACCCATCAACCTACAAGGTGGATGGCCTACTCCCCGCCTCCATCCCACCAAGGAAATCGAGGCAGCATCATCTGCCCTATTCAGGCAGAAAGACGTCCAGCAAAGCTTACGCTATGGACCTGAACTAGGTTCCAGTAATTTCCGCGGAGCTATTGCAGACTGGTTGACCGAGAGCTACGCCCCAAAGGCTGGATCAGTTGTATCTGAGCGTGTCGCCATTACGAATGGAGCCTCGAATGGGCTGGCATGCGTCCTTCAAAAATTCTCAGATCCTTGTTATACGCAGGGCGTGTGGATGGTCGAACCAACATACTTCCTTGCATGCCCTATTTTCCGAGATGCAGGACTTGGTGGGAAGATATTTGGCGTTCCAGAGGGTAAGGATGGTATTGACTTGGAGTATCTTGGTAATCGCCTGCGGGAGGTAGATGAGAATACTCTTCTCCCTATGGAACCAAGAAAGACTGTTGAAGGCGGGTATCCCAAGATATATCGTCACATTGTGTACATTATCCCGACATTTTCGAACCCCAGCGGTGGCACAATGAGTGTTGAAAGCCGCAAAGGACTCATCGAGTTGGCGAGGAAGCATGACGCCCTTGTCGTGTCGGACGACGTTTATGACGTTCTGCGTTGGCCAACCTTGGAGGGCGAAACCTTGGAAAAAGTCGGAACTTGCACTCCCAGGCTTGTCGATATCGATCGAAACTTGGAAGGCTTCTCAGCTTGGGGTAACACACTGAGCAACGGGTCGTTTTCGAAAATCGTGGCTCCTGGAATAAGGGCGGGATGGGTCGAAGCCATGCCAGCCTTGATTTCTGCAATGGGCACAGTGTATGTGTGGAACTTCAATCAATCCATGGTCCAAAAGCTAACTCATATTTGAATAGAGGCGCAACAGTATCGGGAGGTTGTCAAGCCCACTTTGCTTCTCTCGTTGTTGAGAAAATGCTCTCTAGCGGGGCTCTTTCATCACATATCCAGAAAACACTGATCCCGACATACCGAACCAGGTGGCTGAGCATGACAAAAGCCATCAGAAAACACCTTTACCCTCTCGGCGTTCGTATTGTAGGAGATGAGGGAGAAACGGTCGGCAAGATCGCCGGTGGCTTCTTCCTCTATCTAAGCTTTAAGGGTTGTTCCGCATCGGGTCCCACCATTGCGAAGACTGCACTTGAGAAATATAATGTGAAAATCGCACCCGGTGGCATTTTCTCTGTTCCTGATGATCCTGAGAGCAAGATACGAGGTGAAGATACATATCTTCACGGGGCTAGATTGTGTTGGGCATGGAATGAGGAGGTCGTATTGGTGGATGGAATTGAGAGGATTGCCAAAGCTATATTAGATGCCAGCAAGTAGTTTGGTCATTTTTCTTCCTGGAGACATGGTATTGTGGTTCCTTTAGAGATGCAACACCATAGAAATCCATTCCATTGCTCAATAGGTACTAAGAAAACGCCATCCCGCTGATAATAGAAAATAATCACATGACTCAATCAGCCGTGCTCTGTATGATATCTCGTTGATCTCTACGTATGAATGAGGGGCGGACTCGTGTCGCAGGGTCTCGATAACTTGGTCGTTCAAGGCGGACTTGATAACGCCTGTCCGACACCATGACTCGTCATCATTGGCTCCTCGATGTCCGTAATCCCCGCCCCTTCTTTAGAGTAAACCCCAATCAGCGACCATTTTAGATCTTCTTGCAAGCAGCCAAGTATTGACCTAAGATCATGTGTGGCATCAGCTCAAGATCGTTCTGGAACCAAAAAGTATAATATATCTATGATCATCTCCCCAAATTGATGACTCCCATCATCTATATCACAATTACAGGATTCGGAATACTCAACAGCCCATCTCAATGTGCGCATTAAACATATCATCATGGACAGACCTCAAGGAGGCACTGGAGGCTCCTCAGGACCCAAATACAGCAACAACTACTGAGCAAGAGAGAAAGTCACATGTATGGTCGAACGAAGATCTGGACCCAACCAGGAAAGAATATAGGACCTGGACTTGGGTCCATTACACTTCCTTCTGGCTTGCCTCGTCTTTTGCTACAGGAACATGGACAACTGGCAGTGCCATGATCGCCTTGGGCATGCCCTGGTACGCATCTTGGTTGGCAGTTGTTGTGTCACACATCATCGGCGCTTTCTTACTGGTTGCTAATGGCCGTGGGCCTGCGGCGTACCACATTGGTTTCCCAGTGTATGCTCGTGCCAGCTTTGGAATGTGGGGGAGTTATTTCGCCATTGGCTCTCGGTGTGTTGTGGTATGTGTGCTCATCTAGTGTTGATATATTCACTCGTGATGATTTCAATCTCTAATTCCTTCTCAGGCTGCCATTTGGTTTGCAGTGAACAGCTTTTACGGAGCCAACTTTGTGTCGATCTGCATTCGGTGCATCTGGCCGTCGTGGAACAATGTCCCCAATGGCATCCCTGCCACCGAGGGCATTACCACTCAGCTCATCGTCGCCCTCCTTATTTTTTGGATCCTCTCCATGCCCTTTATATTCATCCACCCTCGGAACCTAAACTGGTATTTTGTGGCCAAATCTTGCATGGTCGGTCCAGCCTGCTTTGCTGTGCTCATCTGGGCTGTTGTGCTCAACGGCGGGTCCATCGGTCCCAGCTTTCAAGTCTCCCCCAAGCTTGGGGATGCGAGTTACTACGGCTGGCTTTGGATGAGTGCTCTCAACTCAGGCTTCGGCGGTTGCTCTGCGTTGATCGTTGCGCAGGCAGATATTGCGCGCTATGCTCGCAAGCCGAGTGACCAGTCTTGGTCTCAACTTATCACCTACCCGGTCTTCAGTGCTCTTCCAGCTCTTTTCGGTATCCTGGTGGCGAGCGCAACATCCAACTTTTGGGGAAAGGCCTACTGGAATCTCTGGGACGTTCTCAGTGCCGCCCTTGATTACTACGAGATGTCACCTGCGTCCCGCGGCTTGGTCTTTCTTGCTTCCTTTGCATTCGCAGTCGCAATTCTGGGAACCAATGTTGCCGCAAATTCTCTTCCTTTCGGCAGTGACTTTGCTGGCCTTTTTCCCCGGTGGATCAACATCCGACGAGGACAAGTTCTGTGCGCCCTTTTGACTTTTCCTCTTGTCCCGTGGAAGATTGTCAAGAGTGCCAAGTCATTACTGACGTTTCTGTCTGGTTATTCGATCCTAATGGGTCCTTTTGCTGCGATATGCATTGTAGACTACTTCTTCATTTCTCGCGGCAACCTTTTCATCAGGGAACTATATGTCGGCAACGCTGATTCGCGTTACTGGTACTGGAAGGGTTGGAACCTACGAGCCATTGCAGCATGGGTCATTGGGGTCGTTCTTCCGTTTCCCGGCTTCGTTGCGACCTTTGGAACAGTGACGGTTTCTAGCGGCGCACAGCAAATGTGGAATATGGGGTATTTGCTTAGTTTGGTTATGAGTGGCGTGGTATACTACGCCCTCACTATTTTCATACCTACTCAGACGCTTGAGAAGACTCATAAGTTTGAGGAGTTGGCTTTGGAGACTGACATGATCATTGATTCCGTGACCTATGCTGAAGAAGGGGCTGCAAATTTGGACGGATTGCACAAGCGGGGATCTCTGGACAAGATCTGAAGCAAATGTACTAGCCGGTTATTAAGATACTTCGCCCAAAGAACATTTAATAGAAGCTAGCCTTAATATAGCACTTCCAGATCTTTAAATATAGTTTAATATATCAAGTAAGAGGCCAATTCTCATATAGGTACGTTAGCATTGTTGAACCAAAAAGGATTGTAATCCAGAGGACTATTGAGTCTTATATTCCAACAAGCATTCCATCTACAGAGTGTTTCTTGAGCGGTTTTCATTTGTTCGAAAAGCATGTCTTAGCCTTTTCTACACGAGCTCAATCTCATCGCCCCGCGGCCATCAGTAATCCCCACACGCCTGTCGTTGTGGGTGGATCTTAATGCTTATAATAGTGGTTCACTGCCTACCTATTTAACAACCCATCAAGCCCTTTTTTCTCTCCCATAAGGAAATAAAACATCTCGCTACTGCTATACTTGGAAAGCATCTGCAGGCTCGCAAAGGAAGCTAATAGTTTTATGGGATGGCTACCAGAGAGCCGTTTCCAACTCAACAGTTGGCCATTCTTGGTATGTGCTTTCCCCCCTTGTGCTGTGCTAAACCTCCTCTGCTAATATCCATTGCTCCCAGCTCTTTGCCGACTCGCCGAGCCCATTGCCTTCGCTTCGATTCTGGCCTACAACTACCCCTACGTTCGAGACATAAGAGGCTCCCCAGACAATGCCGCCTTCTACGCAGGTCTGCTCGTCTCGGCCTTTGCCGTAACTGAAGCCAGCACCGCTGTGCTGTGGGGGATGCTCTCTGACAGATGTGGAAGAAAGCCCATTGTCCTCTCCGGGCTCCTCGGCGTCGCCTTGTCAAGCCTAGTCTTCGGCCTTGCAGAGAACTACTGGCTGGCCCTTGCTGCCAGGGCAATTGGAGGTCTGCTCAACGGCAATGTATCCGTCATGCAGACCATGGTTGCCGAGATGGTGAAGTGCCCAGAGCATGAGCGTAAGTCTTTTACTCAACATACCTGCCTCGCTTGTGAGACTTGTCAACCAGTTTCACTGACCATGTTCACAGCGCTTGCGTACAGCATGATCCCATTCATGTGGTTCTTCGGCTCTATAATCGGCTCATCCATGGGTGCGCTTCTCGCAAAGCCTGCCTTGCTATCGCCAATCTTTAAAGAGACCATCTTCGACCAATATCCCTACTTGCTCCCGAATCTGGTTGCAGCCGGTTTCATCGTGTTTGCCGTCGCTGTGGGGACGCTGTTCCTGAAGGAGACCAGGGACGTGACCGCGTCCGAGAAGGAGACTTGCAGTGGTCAAGATGATGAAGAATCGCCGCTTCTCCCAAACGGCCAATCATCCAGGCACCAGCGCGAGTCTGTTACTCGTGTGCCTACTGCTCATATGTTGCGAACGTCAGATGGCGTCGGTGACAGTCCTTCGGACGACTTGGTTTCGGGGACCGAGGAGATCACGGCACCCAAGCCATCACCACGCTGGAATCGAAACATGGTTCTCCTGATCCTTCAGCTATCCCTTGCCTCCTACCTCCAGATGGTATACGGTGTCCTAATGCCCATCTACCTTGTTGATGCTCCATCACCAGGAGCTGCAGAGGGGCAGTTTGACCCGCGCGGCGGCATCGGCTTCTCGGTGCGCCAGGTCGGGGGCGTCATGTCGGTGAATGGCTTCGTCGCCATCATGGTCCAGGGCGTCATCTTCACCCCGTTTGTTAGGCGGGTTGGCATATGGAAGTCCTTCGTCTGGCTGACGGTCTTCGCGCCACTGTCGTATGCGGTCGTGCCCCTTATCACAATGGTCCCTCGCTCGCACACACTCGCCGCAATTTACTCCAACCTGGTCCTGCAGAACTTCATGAACATCATCATCTATCCATGCCTGCTTATCCTGCTCAAGGACGCAACGCCTTCGTTGTCGATTCTCGGCCAAGTCAACGGCGTGGCCATGGCGTGCTGCTCTGGAGCCAGGACCATTGCTCCGCCCTTGGCTGGTTATGTATACGGTGCCGGAGGTTCAGCCGCAGGCTGGTGGAGTATCACATTGGTTGCGGTGATTGCTGGGTTGCTCGTCCCAACCATCAGGCGCCCAGCTCTTGCTGAAGAAGTGCGAGACGAGAGTGGCGATTAAGTCCTTGTACCAGGTCGATAAAATCCAAGTGGCTTTTGAGATGTTGCTTTCCACATCCGGGAGAGAGTTTGAGTATAAAGTTAAGAACAGAAATAGAAGATGCCAGACCCGACATCTCAACACAATGGATATGTAGCTTTCCACATTCAGATGCAGAATGTAACATTATCCACACACTGTAGCTGGAAGTGCATAAGCTAATTAGGCAGAGTAACCTGCCTGGGGGTTCTTTGTAATGACGATGAATTCAAAATCAAGGTCCAAAGTTCTCATACAAACTACTAGCCATTGAAGAACCTAACTCCCCCAAAACTTGGGTTTGGCACTTTCTATCAAGTGCACCATTCTCCAGAGGGAGTCATTGCACGAGACGCTCCGTTGTCTGCAAATCGCTCCAGTAGAAGATTCAGCCTGAGCAAGGGAAGAGCCGCAAAGTCAAAACGCTCCGTCAAGCGCTGCAGAAGACGCCGAAACTCGTCCAAAGCACCCCGTCTGGTCTGGTATGTTTCGTTGTCGGTGCTCGCGAGCAGAGCCGTCACCATGAAGCTCCCTATGATTGCAATATTCGATTTGCAGTCTGGGAAGGGTGAGTAATACCTGTTAGATTGCATTCCAGTTCGGTTTTGGGGGAGTGTAGTGGTACTCACAGCTTAGCCATAGCCCAACAAGTTTGTCTTGCTCCAGTAGATCCTCAAATACGCCAAACAGATCTTGGAACAGAGCCGTCTCCTTCTCGACGTCGTAGTACAAGGTACCACCGACGCAGGCAAAAAGTGCCCTCTGGATGGAGACAGCAATGCCATAGTATGCGAACACAAAAGCGTAGTCTGCAGCAGAGCGTTAGCTGCTTCCTTTGAAATACTGCGAGTTGCTGTACGGACTATTGATTTCTCTGGCGGGGTGCAGGAGGATAGAACCCTGTTGTTCCAGGATATCCTTTAGCTGGGTTTGGCACTGGCTGGCCCGTGACAGAGCTTCTTCCGGTGGCATAACACAGGAACTATGTTTGACAATGTAGAAATGGTCTAGGACGCTTGAGAGAACCGTTGTCAATCTCGAGAGCATCATAAAGGCCGTCATGGACTCTAACTGCCGCGCGTCCACGTGATGGCTGGAGACGGCTCTCAAGTCATCCAAGGTCAATGGAGCAGTGCTGAACTGTCTCTCATCGATGTGACTCGGCCTGCCAAGCCAATGAGCAAGCCTGGGAATGACTGTCAGTTCTCGTTCTAGACCGTCAATACTTCCTAATTTGAGTTCCCCATCTCACCTACCATTTGTCATGCATGTAGACGGCCCACCAGAGGATCCTGCGGCTGTGCTTCTCCAAAGGGCAGATGTTCCAGTTGGCGGGATCAATGTGGAGTCCAGTCTCCTGCGCAAGACCCACGAGCTGCACATTGAGTCAGTCATCTACCAGTAGCTCGGATCGTTGCAGGCCTTCGAGGCTTACCTGGTTCGTCAAGGCCCAAAAGCCGGGATGGTTGGGTTCGCGCACATGCTGTGGGGGAAGCTGCATGTACAGAAGCATGGCCCGGACTGTATGCAGGGATGGCGTCTTTGCCTCCTGCAAAACTGCTTCGAAGACTGATTCGCGCAAGTCATCATCGTTAAAGGGCGCTTTCCCTGCCAAATCCGGCGAATGCCTCCAAAACGGCAGAGCAGAACAATAGATTGCCCCCATCAAGGAGGCGGGGATCGAGCCCGCCGCATATGCTGCCTCCAGCCGCTCCCGGCTTTCCAATACTGGTAGACTACAGTGCACGTACGCATAGTATAAGTCGAGGAGTTGTGTCTGATATGGGCTAACAACTAGGTCGACCTTTGACATGTCATACGTCCCAGCCGCAGCATCGAGTAGCTCATTGGGATACGACTGAGTTGATTATCCTTGTCAGCCACTCCCCCTTGCCGCAATATCAACATAGGAAGGGTCTTGCTCGCTCACCGTGAAGTAGGCAGGAGCAATCTCGTCGGCATACACCTTCCAGACTCTCCAATTCGCGCCACCAAAACCATCGCTCCCGTCGAATGGGAGGTGGCGGAGGAGGTAGACATCCTGGTCGCTACTGTTCCCCGCATAAAGCACCGTGTGATTAGTGAGAACAGTACTCCCCCCAGGCCGTCCATGTACAAGTATGCCCTCAACTGATGGAGGAGGACATGCCGATACCCCGAGCGCAGATTTCAGGTTTGGTGCGTGGGTCTCGTTCACAAGGGAACCTGGCGTTGACGTAGACTCGGATCTGGGTCTTCTCCCCTTTTTGATCGGAGCGGCCAGCTCAAATGTGCAAGACGTGCCTCTGTGGACGCATAGGGTGCAGCTTGGTTGACCCGAGGCGACGAAACATCCAACCCGGCGGCGGCGGCATCCATCACACCTAGTGCCAAAACCAACCAGGATTAGAGGCGAGTCAAGAACAACCAAGGAAATTTGGGGCCACTCACGGACGTTGTTTCTTGGACCGGTAAGGCCTCGCAATCTGGTTCCCCGCATCCGGGGTAGCATGACTTGGAGACTCGTCCATCGGGTCAAAGCCAGGCCAGGTCAGGTCAGGAGGTGGCCAGGACGAGCAGAGAAGCCCGCGGGGCGACTGGCCTCATTAATAAATGCCTCTCTCGCAACCCCTGTACTGGTCTCGTTCCAAAAGGTGGATGGCTAGCTTAGCGTGGAGACAATATTGGAACTAATCAAAAACTTTAGACTGACCTAAAGTTGGCCGCGGGGCGTTTCGTTTGGGGTCTGATCGTTGATCAACGACAACCGCATCTCGCGAACCATCATGTGGATTGTACTTAAAAAGCCGTGACACCCTGAGGATCTGCTGAAGCCAAACCCGAAGGCTCACCATCAACACCAACCGATTGTCCTACAAGTGATCAAGTCTCACTGTCCCGTCCCATCATGGCCATAAAGAAACCCAACATGCTGCGGCAACTAACGCCTCGGCTCCTCCGAATCTACACCCTTGCATCGGTAAGTGAATTCTGTGTATGTGGGATTGTCTAAACACAAATAAGCTGACAGAGAAACCAGTTCGGTGCCATGGTACGTCGCCTGTCTATTGATCTGAGCGTGATTTAAGACGTCTCAAAGGCGAGTCACTGACCGCTCTCTGTGCTCTAGAACTTTGGCTATGACAACAACTGGTGGTCTGGAGCCATAGCGTCCAAAGAGTTCAACGACGACTTTGGCAAGCACATCAACGGGCCCGATCAGCCTCGGAAGTTGCCGTCGGATTGGCTCTCTGCGGCGAGCGGAACCCCTCTTGCTGGCTGGATCGTAGGCTGCTTCATTGCCAGCTATCTCAACAGCGGTCTAGGGAGAAGAAAGACAATCATGGTTGTCTGTGCCATTGGCCTTGTTGGGATGGTGATGCAATGCGCCATTCCGAGCTACTGGGGTCTGATGGCCGGGCGCCTCGTCAATGCCCTCTCCATGGGTATGTTTGAAACCGTGCTTCGGCGTGGACGGGGTGGCATCCATCATGCTTCCCCTTTTGATCGTTTTCATTTTGGGTTGACAACCTCGTCTAGGCATCGAGGCAAACACTGTGCCAATGTACATGGCAGAACTTGCACCGGCCACGATCCGCGGCGGACTCGTGAACTTTTACCAGAGCTCGCTCTACGTGGGAGCGATCCTGGCCACAATCACCGTGTATGGCTCGACCAAGAGCTTCGACAACAAATGGGCCTACCTGACACGTTCGTGAACCCTTCCCCAGTTAACCAAGTCCTTCATTCATTCACGTGCTAACGATGCAAGCAGCGATTGTTGTCCAGCTTGCACCACCTCTCATGCTCCTCGTATCCGTCTTCTTCATCCCAGAGTCACCTCGCTGGCTTCTCCAAAAGGAGAGGAGGGAGGAGGCCCACAAGGCACTGGCATTCGTACGAGAAGGTTCCTTGAACGAAGAAGCGGTCGCGCTGGAGCTGAGTCTCGTCGAGATGGCGATGCAGGAAGAGCAGCAGAACCACCGTGCCACCAGCTACCTCGACTGCTTTAGGGGTTCCAACCTTCACCGCACGTGCATCGCCATGGGCGTCCAGTGCTTGCAGCAAGCCCAGGGGAACTCCTTCACCTCCACCTATCTCGTCATCTTTCTTCAGCAGGTCGGTATCGAGGAGCCGCAGTTGATTGCCATTGCGTACTACGCGTGCAACCTAGCTGGATGCATATTGGCTTTCTATCTGTCGGACAAGATCGGACGACGCCCCATGATGATGGGCGGTGCCCTGCTCCTGGCTGCTCTTATTTGGATCACAAGTGGCCTCGCCAGTTGGGCTCCTCTCACACCAGCAGTGGCGAATGGTTCCATTGCCGCCATCATGCTTTACGTGAGTATCCTTTCTTTCTTCCAACCCTCTGATATGAAGGCTGAATTCTCTTTCCAGGGCGCAGTTGCGGCATCGTGCTGGGGCTCCATCATGTGGACAGTTACGGCCGAGGTGGGGACGACACAGCTCCGCGAGCGTACGATTTCGATTGCGACCATGGCCAGTTTTTCGACGAGCCTGTTAGTCACGTACATAAACCCCTTTATCCAGAACGAGCCGGGGAACCTGGGCGGACGGGTCGGCATGATGTATGGCGGCATCTCGATTCTGGCCTTTATCTTTGTCTATCTCGTGGTGCCCGAGATGAAGGGGCGGAGTTTGGAGGAACTGGACGAGCTCTTTCATGCAAGGGTGCCTGCTTGGAAGTCGACCCAATTCCAGGCCACGGGGATTGGGGCCGAGATCACCGGTGTTCGGGCAGTCGAAGGAAAGGATGCAGACACTGTTGAGGCCGTCGAGGGGGCACATCCTACGAAGGAGTGATAGGTTGACAGTTAGTTGAGTAGGGGACGGGATGGAACATGGCACATGCCGATAAATAGTTATCATGTGTTGAGAGTTGGTCGGGGAATCGGTTTTGTTCCTTCCAGTTGCAAATTGACTGGCCCTACCTTATATAGCTCACGGTATCGGCTGAAAGCGGTCATTCCTGGTATCCTCAAGCTCTTAAATCAGTAGTACCACCTTTCTACCAAGGATGTCTACTGATATAAAGTAAAGCAACATGCCTCATTAGCACAAACTGCTTCCAAATGCCCCATCATTACCCCGTCTTTTCTAGTTGCCTAGCAAGTAGTCAAGGTACTATGTCAGTCCACTCCGGTCAATAATATGGATATATATTTCAAATGCACATACTTCCTTCTCTAGGGGCAGAGGTAAATTACTCATGACATTAAAACTACCTACCATAGTGCCCGCGGGGGGTTTCTGTATTTACTTTCCATTTTTCTCGGGCTTCTCCTTAGCTTTCTTTATAAAGCAATTTACGCCTCTGTCATCTTTCCTCCTTTCCTTGACCTTCCCTTGTCCTATAACAGTAAGGCGAAGTACTTGGCATATCTCTATAGCCACCCTGCATCGCTGGTAAATAATCGAAAGCAACATCTTGTACGTCACCTGGGCGAGCAAACATTTTGCTACTGCAAAGCGGTCCTTATCGCACACTGACACCTCAACTACGCTGAACCAAACTCGTCGACCAATATGGCCTGCGCGGCATGATGAATCTACCTACTTGGTGAGAGTAAGAAAATACAAATGAGTAAAGAATAATGAAGAGGCCAGACCCGGCCATCTCAACACAAAGGCTAATATCAGTTTCGTAAGTTCAAGGTTCACAAGCTTCTGCAAGCTTCCGCAAAGAACTTCCAGCAAGCCACAAGGAAGAAGTCGCTTCAAGCCACAAAAGCGAGGAGAAAACCTTCACTCTAATGACTCCTTGGCCGCTATAAAGTCCCTTCCGGATTCCCTATTTGATCCCCCTCCTCACCTCTGCAACACACAGCTTCCATCGCATGCACTGGCACGATGGATATACCCAATGCGCAGAGTCCCCTGCAACGGGAGATCACGGCTCGACCTGCCCACATAGATTCTGTAGCCGCCACGCTGCAGAAGCCATTGTTGGCTCGCCACATCCCACACGCTCAGATCGCGTCGAGTGAGCGTAAAGGCCACCTGGATTTCCTCGCCCGCTGGTATGTACACCTTTTCGAACCCTCTCAGCTGTCGGACCGGACCGCCAGGGATGCCAACATAGAGCTGGGCGACCTCGCTGCCGTCAACAGTGCCCGTATTAGCCACCACGACGGAGACTGTCGCGACCTCATCCCAAAGGTGTGGATTACCCCCCTGCTCGACCTGAGCCGCGGGGGGGAACGCTTCCGGCGAGTCATCATGCTGGGTCACAAGCAGCCTTGAGTAGTCAAACGTGGTGTAGGAGAGCCCAAAGCCGAACTCGTACCGGGGCTCGATGCCCTGCGCATCAAAGGCGCGGTAGTCTGTCAGGCTGCCCTCGGTAAAGTCCGACTGCGGGAAGCGCCAAAACTTGCCCTCACGCCTTGAGACATGCAACAGGTGACCATAGTCCTCTGCCTGGCGGGCAACCGTATAAGGCAGGCGTCCGGACGGGTTTATCTTGCCATATAGCAAGTCCACGATGGCACGGCCAGTGTCCTGGCCAGGCAAGTGTGCGAATACCAGGCCTGTAATGTTCGGGTGATCGACCCAGTTGTCAACCAGCCTGATGCCGGCATTGTGAACAACGACGATGGTATTGTTGCACTTTGAGGCCACATTGGTTACTAGTGTATCGCTGTAGGCATCGGTGAGTCCCTGCCGGTCATATGCCTCGGAGGCAAAAGCATTGACGAATACCAGGCAGACATCGCTCGTTGGGTTGACGGCTGGATCCTGGGATTCGAGATCCCACAACAGGGAGCTACCATCATCTTGCGCCTTCCGCTGAAGCGCATTGATAGGGGCGTCGACATAGGCTGGAGAGTTGTCTCCAGACCCTCCACCAACAGATAAAGTGTGGTTTTGCTGGATCAATGGAAGGACTCCAAGGTCAGCCGATATAGAATGATTGAGATCTACGAGGCCAGTATTGAAGACAATCTTGTCAGGCCCTTTGGCATCGTAGCCGAAGATGGACACCATCCTAGGCGACTTCAAAGGCAGACTATTCTTGTCATTCTTGACCAGAACCTGGCCCTCGATGGCGCTCTTCAAAAGAGTCTCCCGCGCCGCGGGATTCTTAGCATCGATGCGCTGGTGCGGTGCATTCACGTCGTAGGGCATACCGATACCAGTCGGGGGGAACGAGGTATCCTGTCCGAGGAAATACCAGGAAGCAAGGATTCGTGTTGCCATGTCATCTAGGCGGGCGGCGCTCATGGTACCGTTGGCAATGGCATCGGTGAGGTTGGATCCCCAGAAGTGAGAGATTGGCAGGACCATGTCCAATCCAGCATTAGCAGAGGCGATGCCACCATGCTGAGCGAACCAATCTGTCATAACATAGCCTTGGAAGCCCATCTCTCCCTTGAGGTGACCGTTGAGCAGCTTGCTGTTCTGGCAGGCGTAAGAATTGTTCAGCCGGTTGTACGAGCACATGACAGAGACGGTTCCAGCTCGCACAGCGTCCTGGAAAGGCCACATGTAATGCTCGTGCAATGTCTTGTCATCAATGTTGGAGGAGAGAGACTCGACGTAGTGTCCTTGTTCGTCGATGATTGGGTTGCGGTGGAGCTCCTGCTCGTTTCCAACAAAATGCTAAGCGAACAGATGTCAGCGTGGTTGGCCTTGTTCTTTCTCCTTCTCCAGAATAACAAGCAGGAAGATTTCCTTACCTTGATGCAGGCTGCCACGCCCGTTGACTGGATGCCCACGACAGACTCTGCCCCTAACGCTCCGGCATGATAGGGGTCAGGTGAAACTCCCTCCCAGTTGCGGCCACCCTCGACGACTCGTCCCATGGCGCCGACCATTGGACCCAGCAGAACATGTACCCCCTTAGCCCGATACTCTTCAGCCATCCAGCGACCTCGGTCTCGGGCAAGCTCCTTGTTCCAGCTACTCTAATCAGCCAAGTGTTCAGACGAACTTTGTTGACATGTGTATTTAGGGCAGGCAGTACTCGCCTTGCACCGACGTGGATCCCGCTCGACCAGCCATTGACGTAATCCGTGTCTCGCTGCCGTTGGGGTCAGCATCAAGAAGACAAAATACTTTCTCTTGTGGTGATGTGGAGTGCATACCAATCCATTCCCAGCATCAGACAGGCAGAATCCGGGGAAGCCGACGCGGGGGACGGCAGCGATGTTTCCCATGCACCCCGTCTCTGCTCTGCTGCCGGCGGTCAGGGTGACCTTTTCGTCTGGTGTCATTCGGGCAACCAGTGCCCTCGCCTTGGTGTATGCGCTAGCCCACGGTCCGTGTCCTGTGCCTTGGGCTGTATGATAGACGTTCCCAGTCAGTTGGTCAGTCCATCTTCATTCCACGACTTGAATTGCCCTTGGTGGCTTTAGCAACATACGTGACGGGTAAACGGGCGGGGACTGTCCGTAGAAGTAGGAGTCGCTCGTGATGTTGCCATCGAATACCGCAGGGTTTGCTGCCAGTGGGACCTGTGAAATCAGAGATGAAGCCAGTGGGAGACCACACAAGAAACGGGCGGCAGGCCCAGGTGTAAAAGCCACCATATCGGAAGCAAGTTACTTGGAAGTCGGAGTTAAAACCACAAGACCAAGATTTGCGAGCATTCCAGCCCGTAATCCCCCCTCTTATATACTTGCCTCAAGCCCCGGCTCGGTCCATAAACACCAAGCTTGCCAGACAAGATGGCCCACCGATAGTTCCATCTTGCGCAGCCTAACTGGAAGTACCGCTAGCTCAAGTTCTCGGCGGTTGATATTAGGGAAGCCCCGCGGGCTTTGAGGGCTTTGGGGTGTAAGTTCTCTGCATCTGAGGGTCAGGTGGAAAGGGTGGGGAAGGAATCGTGGATCTACATCGCCCCGCGGCCAACTTTGACTAGGTAGATCAGGCACAGAAGCGTTCAACGTATCATCATGCAAAAAAGCATATATGGTAAGAAAAACAATCCACACCGCGTATACACATGAAGTTAGCGTTAAGGGGTGCTCTCCAAGCCTGTTCAACCCAGGACTCCGTAGATTTACAACTGCCTATCTCTACGTGCAGAAAAAAATTCTTGAGAGCAAGCAGCTGGCCAGCTGCTTTTATAGTACTTTCTTGTTCCGGGCTTGGTGCTATGAACCCCTTGAGCGACCAGGGTTCCCATGCGTGCACACGTATCCTTGACGGAGCTTCATGTAAGCGTAGCCTGTAACACCACACCGCGTATACACAAGGGGGAGAACGCTGTGGAGTTAATACATTCTCGCGGGTCTTAAGTCCGTGCGAATGAAATATTGCTGCAACAAAGGTAGTTCCCTCTGAGCACATGATGAAATTCGATACGACTATTAGGACTTAAGAGTAGAATATTAGCGAGCCGAGTGTGGTAGAATAGCCTATATAAAGAAGAGCTTCAACTGGAAATAACGGAAGAGAACAATGAGATATTCGTATCAAATTACCAACTTTACAGTCTCTTCTAAACACTACATAAAATGACAACTCCAGCAATCCAAGATGATTCAGGCCACTTGGTGGTTCCTTGCATGATCAACGGCAAACCTGTCATCCAACCATCCCAAGCCAGCTTTCCAGTTGTTTCTGCTCGGACCCAGGAAACTATTCACTATGGCCAGACGTCCACAGTTGAGATGGCAGTCAAAGCCGTAGAGTCTGCAGATGCTACATTCAAGGTGTACAAGAAGACTTTAGTTGATGAAAGGCGTCAGCTTCTGCTGCGTGCTGCGGATATCTTTGAGAGGCGCAGTGGCGAGGCCATGCATCGCCAGATGACCGAAACCAGCTGTGAGGAGCCTTGGGCACGTTTCAATGTCATAGCTACCGTCCGAGCAGTCCGTGAGGCAGCTCATGCTGCTCGAGCTGCCCTCACAGGAGATCTGCCGCCATCCACGAGTGGAGTGCCTCTGCTTGTTCAGAAGGAACCGGTCGGGCCCGTGCTTATGGTCGTCCCGTAAGCATCATGAAGATACACAACTCTCTCGCCCCCAAATGCTAACTTACGACAGATGGAATGGTGCCCTTATTCTGGGTGCTCGGGGCATTGCCAGTGCATTAGCTGCCGGCTGCACCGTTGTCTTCAAGGCTTCGGAACTTTGCCCATGGACTCACTCCTTTCTTGTTGAGACTTTTCTAGAAGCAGGATTTCCTGCTGGCTCAGTCAACTTTATCATGTCGGATAGAGCAACAGCAGCTGAAGTTACGGAAGCTGTCATTGCTCACCCTGCACTTCGCAAGGTCGAATTCATTGGCAGTGCGCCGGTGGGCAGAGCCATAGGCGTGACGGCAGCAAAGCACCTGAAGCCGATCATCATGGAGCTCGGCGACCAGAGTCCTGCTATTGTTCTTGAAGACGCCAATCTGGCCAAAGCAGCAACTCTGTGCGCTACGGGAGCGCAGATGCTACACGGCCAAGTTTGCTTCGGCACCGAGCGAGTCATTGTCCACTCGTCTATCAAAGACAAGTTCTGCTCGCTGCTGGCTGACGCATTCCGGAACAATCCCGTATCTGGATCAGCAATCAATGTTGCATTTGCGGGTAAGGCCCAACAAGTTGTTGACGACGCCGTGAAAAGGGGCGCAAAGCTCATATATGGAGACAATAAGCTTGTTGGCGCTTCCGTGGGGCCAACCATATTGACTGACGTCGACCCGGAGTCTCTCATCTCGAAAAATGAGGCATTTGCACCCACCTTGTTCGTCGTTGCCGTAGACAGTGACGAAGAGGCCATTGTAGAAGCCAACAGCCGAGAGGGCGGCCTGTCTACATCCATCTTCACTAGCAATTACGAGCGTGGGCTCCGTATTGCGAGTGAGCTAGAGTTTGGCCAAGTTCAACTTAATCAGTCGACATTGAACGCTGACGGTAAGTGCCATTTATCTATCAGATTATTTGACGTCATCTTATTAATATGTTCTCATCGTGTAGCTCTCGGGCCACTGGCAGGGTGGAAGGGTAGTGGTTGGGGTAGCCATGCTGGACGATACGGTATCGAGCTCTTCCTGCAGCACCGCGCCATTTTTCTGTTCCCATCTGAGGGGGCTAATCCTCATTAACAGGCCCTGGTCTGATTTTGATCTGCGACTTACCCCCGTTTTGTCCCTTCTCTAGCAGAAACCCAGGTGGGAATTTGGCTATTGGTTGCAGTATGCTGGCTCTAGTACACGTAGCAGATCAAACTCGACTAGCTTTGACATAAGAAGTTCATTAGCAGTCTTACCAATGCCCAACTGCAGGATTCCAAGTATTGTGCTACATGTATTATACATAAGGAAACCCGTAGTCAACTCACGTTATGCTCCATAGACAGTATTGAGTTTGAATCTCTTGTCGAGTCTCCTGTCAGGGATAGGGCTGCCATAACCTTCCCTGTTGAAAAGCCGGGCAAGTCACCCCTTGCCGGAACGGCGGGAGGATCTTGGCTCTCCACCCCCAGCCCCAAAAATGCCCCAAAAATGATATCGTGTTAGCAGCTAAGCCAATCAATTCTCATTCGTACGGTTAAAGAGCTCCGTTCACAATCATTGTCTGACACATTTGGGACTGGGGTAAACCGGTGTCGGGTGATGAACAACCGTGCCCCAATTTCCCTCAGTTTTCCACCTTGCATCCGAGGACATCCCTTCCAGCTACCAGACGACGGAGAAGCCCAGAAGAGGAATGTATGTGTCATAGAATCATTAGACATTTGGTTGAGGATTCACCTCCGCATGACAGAACCCCGTATCATGCACCCCGGATTACACCACTAGTCAGCCCACGATTTTGATGACGTGGGTCCCTGTTGCGGTTGGAGAAATACGACATGCTATGTTTTGCACTGTCCATCAATTAACTTTGGATACAAGGGCATCTACTAGAATATTTTATGTTGTAGTGTGTTGTTGCTAAAATTTCCTATTGCAAGAAAGTCGGTAAATTGTATCCTCAACTCTGTGTATATTCCAACGATGGAGATCATCCTTGGCTGTTCGCTCCATTTATCCGCCTCAGAAGGTCCCATCCCAAACCCCCTAGAGACGAAAACGCAGTCATATTATATCAATTGAGCTATTTTCAGCTGGGCGAGTAACCACTATCGAGGCCGGGGTGGGTTATCAAACATGGGCCTTTGGCGGTTCGCCCAACTTATAGGTCGATTTAAAGCTCTTGCTTCGATCAGCCACTGAAGGGTGGATCATATGAAACGTAGTGGTGGAAAGGGACCCATAACGAATTCCTCGATACGGTTGACGAGTCAGGTTTCGGCCTTTTTCACAGTACGTATTGGGAAAGTATTCCCATGATGCCTGGCTTTCATTATCTCCAACAACAAGTTCCCTGTTTTACGTTAGATTGAGAGGCGAAGTAAACCCAGGGAAACAGATCTGTAAAGACCAGCTTTCTCGCACTCCTCTATTCCGGCTTCAGCTTCTATCGACATCACCTCCCCAGTAACGAATTCATTATACCCAGACATCAACAGGCAATCACCTATCCTCGTTTCTGTTTTTTTCTGCTCATCATGGAAAAGTCCAATACAGATCAGTTGCACGAGGATCCAGCAGACCCCTTAGCCAAGAGCGTCGCAAACGGGCAGACTACGACAGAAGATGCGGTTTTCGGGGACATCACGGCCGAGGGTCCAAACTACAGAAGCGTAAGTGAATTGAAGATGCTGACCATGCCCTCGCTTTCCGAGTCCAGCGGAATAACCAGGAGTAGGTCGGATGGGTCGGCACCGTCATCATTATGATGAAGCTCTGTATCGGCCTTGGGGTTCTTTCTATCCCAGCCACATTTGATGCTTTTGGCATCATTCCCGGCATGTTCCTTCTGATTGCCATCGGTGTCATCGCGACATGGTCCTGCTACGTCGTTGGCAACTTTAAACTACAGCATCCCGAAGTCTACGGAATTGATGATGCAGGGTTCTTGATGTTTGGCAAGATTGGTCGTGAGTTCTTCGCTGTTGGGTTCTGCCTCTGTATGTGTACTCCCCACGGCTGAAGAAGAAGGCAGAGCCTGCACTGACCAAAACCAGGCTATATACTCGTTGCCGGCTCTGGTATGCTTGGAATATCGATCGGCCTCAACTCAGTTTCGGCCCACGGAACATGTACTGCAGTCTTTGTCGCCATCGCGGCAATCGTCGCTTTCATGGGTGCAAGTATTCGAACACTCGGTCGTCTCCAGTGGCTCGCTTGGATCGGACTTGCGGGAATTCTCATCTCAAGTATGTGGCATCTTTACTCTAGTTTACTAACACTGAGCGAACAATTGACCTAACCGTTCCACAGTTTTCACCGTTACGATTGCCGTCGGTGTTCAAGATCGGCCGGCGGCAGCACCGCAAGACGGCCCCTGGAAATCCGATTTCGCCATCGCTAAACGCCCGACTTTCATAAAGGCTGTATCAGCTCTCTCAACCTACATCTTCGCGTACGCAGCAGCCCCTCTTTTCTTTCCTGTCATCTCAGAGATGAAGGATCCCCGCGATTACACAAAGGCCCTCCTCGTCTGCCAGAGTGGAGTCACCATCACCTATGTTGTCATCGGGTGCCTTGTCTATTACTTCTGTGGCTCGTATGTGGCATCTCCTGCTCTTGGGTCTGCCGGTGGTCTGCTCAAGAAGATTTCCTACGGGATTGCCCTGCCTGGGCTGATCGCCAGCACCATCCTACTCCTCCACGTACGTAGACCGTGTCTTCCTTCTCCGCCCAGATACAGACTCCTAACAGTGTGGAATAGTTACCTGCCAAGTACATCTTCGTCCGTCTACTCCGAGGCACCAAGCATCTTACATCGAATTCAAAGACCCACTGGATTGTGTGGCTCAGCTGCACCTCTGGTTCAGCCGTGGTTGCATACATCGTTGCTAGCGCAGTTCCAATCTTCGGAAACCTCGTCTCGCTTATCGGAGCTGTTTTCATCACAACTCTGGCTTTTCAAGCCATGGCATGTATGTGGTTTTACGATAACTGGAAGAGCGAAGAGCGAGGAACTCTGAAATGGACCCTGATGGCGTCTTGGGCTGCATTCGTCATCGTTCTAGGCGTCTTTCTTACCATAGCCGGAACATACGGATCGATTGTAGAGATTATCGACAGCTACAAGGTCTCTGGAGGATCAGCGGCTTGGAGTTGTGCTGATAATTCCAACTCGACTTGAGAGCACGGAAATGGGTATGATATTTCATTTGAACAATTCAGTGCTAATTGTAATAAACGAACAACGAATGTCTTAGATTAAAGAGGAAGAACTATATTGAGTAGACAACCTGTCACTATCCTGATTTTATGAGCAAATCTTCTTATTCGAGCATAGATGAGGGTATGTTTGGTGCCTGATATCAATTAGATAGTAGCCGACCGATTATTATGATATATACCGGCATTCAAACAAGCCAGTTTCGGTGTTCGCTTTCGTGTACTACAATTTGACGACTTCATCGGTCGACCACACCACAGTTAATGGCAGCCGCTTGGCTAATGGTCAGATGATTCCGGTAAAGCGCGGTATAGCTGGTAGGTCTCGAAACCGTCCCTAGACTTCAATTCTCTTACTTCTCTTATATTGTTCTGAGGCACTTCGTGATAATTGTCTATTCTTTTGCCTTCTTTTGGTGCACTATGATGCTATCAGAACCCTTCATACTTTAGGTACCTAGCTAAGCGATTGCTAGAGCAAACGGGTCCATCACAATTCTTAAACAGCACCCTGTGATAACATATCGAAATGTCAATGATCATCACAGACCCTCTGGAGTAATACCTTCTCCAGATATACGCCATCTAGCAATCACCTGACGCTTCAGCACCATGTCATGAGAAAAAGCAGTTGGGCAGGAGACTCCGAGCCGGTGCCGGGCCGGAGCCACCGAGCAAGCATTTGCCCCAAGGCCGAGACCATCTGCCGTCTTAGCCCATCTCGCCCACGATTTCCCCACGAGAGGCACAGCGGCAGGAGACTCCGAGCACAACCCCACAAAAGCTTCACCAAACATGCGTCCCCTCACTCACGGAATCGCATGCACATTCCCTATTAGCAAACGCCCCATCCGTCTTCTCCTTATCTCTGCCCAGTTAGCCGATTGACACGCTTTGACAGGCAGTGGCGGGCTGGCCTGTGGGGAATGCCATGAGTAAAGCGACTGGCTGGTGAGTCCGTGAGCTCACTATTAAAACCTCACTCACCATCTGCCGTTGCCTTCGCCGTTCTCAATCTCTTCTTCACCGTCCAATACTCAATTCGACAGAAGATTTCTCCTTTGGAGGTCGGAACGTGAAGACTCGCAGATACAGCCAACCGCTCTACCCAACCATGAAGGCTGCCCTGGTCCTCTCGACGCTCCTGCTCCCCTTTGGGGCCTATGCGTGCGGCGGTCATGGCGAAGTGAGAGAATGGAGCCAAGAAGAAATTGACGAGCTCGAGAGGAAATGGGGAACAGACGTAAGTGACGAAAGATATGGGCGAACCGTGGACGTGAACTAACTCCCTACAGTGGTCGTTCTCCGGCATCTCAACATTTGCACATCTCCCTCACGTGCGATGCCTCACCACTCCCAGCGAAGTCTATGACATCGCCATCCTCGGCGCTCCCTTCGACACGGCCGTGTCGTACCGCCCCGGCGCCCGTTTCGGTCCCCGCGCCATCCGCGCCGCCTCTGCCCGCCAGACCAGCTTCCGCGGCTTCAACGCCCGCGCCAACATCAACCCCTACGCCTCGTGGGCCAAGATCATCGACTGCGGCGACATCCCCGTCGTCCCCATGGACAACGCCCTCGCCCTGGAGCAGATGACCGTCGCCTTCACCGAGCTGGGCCAGCGGCCGGCCGTCTCCTCCGTCATCAACAAGCCCAAGCTCATCACCCTCGGCGGCGACCACAGCCTCGCCCTCGCCGCCCTCCGCGCCCTCAAGGAGTCGTACGGCGCGCCCCTCCGCGTCGTGCACTTCGACGCCCACCTCGACACCTGGCACCCGGCCAAGTACCCCTCCGCCTGGTCCAGCAAGCAGACGCACTTCAACCACGGCAGCATGTTCTGGCTGGCCGGCCAGGAGGGGCTCATCGCCAACTCCTCATCCCAGCCTTCCATGCACGCCGGTCTCCGCACGAGGCTGTCCGGCAGCGAGTACCCCAACCCGGACTACCTTGATGACGACGCCCAGAACTGGGTGCGCATTGCCGCTGATGAGATTGACGAGATTGGACCCAGTGCCGTTGCCGCGCGTATCATGAAGACTATTGGTACCGAGGATCCTGTCTACCTCAGCGTGGACATTGATGTCCTGGATCCCGCATTTGTAAGTCTACGATTCTACGTGTTTTTTTATTATTTGACGTGCTAACGGATACTGTTCAAGGCCCCTGGTACTGGTACCCCTGAGCCCGGTGGCTGGACGACCCGAGAGTTCATCCGCATTCTGCGGGGAATCGAGGGTCTGAATGTCGTTGGTGCCGACATCGTTGAAGTCTCGCCCAGCTACGATGGTAGGGGCGAGGAGACAGCTTTGGCTGGAGCTCAGGTAGCTTACGAGATCCTGACCAGCATAATTAAGAAGGGTCTGGAGAAGCCGGCCAAGGCTGACGAGGCCAAGACTGATCAGGCAAAGGACGAACTGTAATTTACAAAGTGAGGATGTAGATATACTGAGCTGAGCATATGCATGTGAAATGAAGAGGTGGATGTTATGATGACTGGAGTTCATGGAAGGCGGAGCATTTTAGCATACCAAAATTGATATTGTATTATTCTTGTATTATTTATGATTACACGGGCAAGATGTGAATATCCAAGCTGCGATAAACAGTCATCCCATCTGGAGCTCCAACCCCGTGGCACTGCCGCAATTCGTCCACCCTTTCCCAGACCTGCTGCACGACGTCCCATTGCTTGTCAATATTGGCAAGCCCGTAACTCAGCACCCGCTCCCACCATCCTCGGCAAATATCTCGCTGAGCACCAATGGCATCAAGAGAGGCGATGGTAGCGGGCCAGGTCAGTGGTGCCATGAGACCTTGCCTTGGGGACCCGGGCATCATCTTCGAATCCTCGGCGGCATGCATGTGCTCCATCGTGTGTTGTATTTCCTGGGTCAGATCGGCGCTCTTCCAGCTCTGTATTCTCCTGTAATAGTAAACGAGGGCTGCATGATGCCATGCGTGCGCTTGGTGGTAGAAGATGGTGGAGATGTACACGTCGTTGGCCTGGATCGAGCTTATCGTCTCCAAGTCAAATCTCCAAGACAGCAGCTTTTCTCCCAGGGACTCGCAAGCTTCAAGCAGATCATCAGGTATGGAAGAGCTGTTACCTCCATCTTGCTGAAAGCGTAAAAGATATTCTCCCAAGCGGCACATTTCCAAAATGGCTCCCGCAATGACGGGTGTGATTCCATACATGAACTCAAAGCATGTATTAGACTGGACCAGATCCATTTCCTCATCGAGAGTCTGTTGCTCTCTCCCAGACCAAGTCGTGGATGAAGGTTGAAAAGCAAGCGTCCTCGTAAGTAAGGACAGGAAAAAGCTGATCTCGTTCACTTGCCGAGTCTGGCTGCTAACGACCCTCCATCGGTTACGAGAATTCCGTAACTGGTTCGCTGCTCCAAGATGAACTTGGAAATCTCCACCGTCTCCAGATACAACCTGTCAAATAATAAGCTCCTGTTCCCAAACCCCGGGCTCTAATTACTTACTCCAATGGTGACGAGGGACAACATGGCCATCATGAGTGTCTTGTAGTCTGCACCGCTTGCGGGTGATTGCATAGCGACTCTCAACGAACTGAGTGCGTTCTGTTGATGCGCCACTCCCAAACTTTTGTACCTGGCATAATTTTTATTTCGATTCCACAGATGGTAAGCTGCCGATGCCAATACCGAATGGAATAGTGTGGAATAAATGGTCGGGGCACATTCTTTTGGGTCCAGGATGTTCTTAATTGCCCCTTGGAGTGCTGAGGTGAGGAATAATCCGCGTGAGCGGTATTGGTTCTGCGGATGAAGAAGTGGTTGTAGAATATCAGCAACGTGAACCATATAATGGTCAATGAGGGAGTCTATCTCAAAATCTCCGGATAAGGTGATGCGTGGGTTGCGAGGCAAGGCTGGATGCCGAAGGAAATCCTGGGCTGGCGTTTGAACAGGCGAACCAAAAGAGGCTTCGTTGTGGCTAGCGCTTTGGAAAACAACAAGCTCACTGCCGAAGTTTTGGTCCTGGCTGATGTCGGGGGTAGAATCATTCAGATAGGGATCCAACACTCCATCCAGTTCATCCGAGGCGATGGTTAGGCTACCTTCTTGCCCAAGCAGGCTCTGATCAATAACTCGCCCCTCTTCTGATTCTGATATTGGCGCAGTAACTGGCAAATATGACGAGTGGTTCCCGTTAAGATCCACAGCGTAGTCCTCATAGTCCCATTCTTGCCGAGTTTGGGCACCACTGTCGTGGGGGGTTAGAGGATCAGAGCTGGTGGCTAGTGAAACTGAGTTGTCTTCCTTACTCGATCCGCCAATATCACTCGGTTGGACCGGGAAGACAGAAAAGGGACCATGTCTCACAGGTTCCTTTGATACGGCTTCCCCATCAATGACACCCAGGAAGCCGTCGATGTCGTCCAGACGATACCGCTGCCCGCTCAGCTTGTCTGTCGAGGGGGTTAGCCTATGGCATCCAGGCGATGGAATTGAAAGGCTGAAAAGATATAAGAGGATCGCAAATCACCTAGTTTAATACTTCTGCGGCCTCCAGTGCCACCAGATTGTTTGTCGGGTTGGGTAAGCGGGTCTGAGACCCACTGCAGCCGGATCCCATAGCCACCGCACGCGACACCCTTCTTTTCGCAGTTTCTGCAAGATACTGGTGTCTCGTCACATCTTATCTTCCGTGCTTTGCATGTCCAGCATCTAGTCGTGTTAGCACGTCGGGCAACTGGTTGGTGAAGGAGGAAAAACGGAGCAGCCAAACAAATGCCCGCATACCCTGTGAACGTCATAGGCCGCGATGGAAGTCGACCGCCCATGGCGAGAACTACAGCAAATTCATTTGCCGATATCGTTGTAGATAGAGCCGTTCAATCCCCCGATGCGCTTGATCGTCCGGGTGAGATCAAGGGGGCGAGTAAATGAGACGAAAGCGTCGCAATGTCCCTTATCAGCAGCAGCGGCAGCCGGCACGATGGATGGTGCTTTTATGAGAAGCGACAGATTGGCTACAAATGTCCCGTGACCACGCTTATGTAAGTCAAAGATAAGTATCAATGCTAGCCCAATCTTGCCAAGGTCTCATCCATCGCAGCCTACCCTACAGCTTGCACACCAAACACTATTATCCAGATATCGAGCCAGTATGGCACTTAATTGAATTCTTTAGTGAGTTGCTTACGTATCGGTTACTCCCGAAACAATATTCTAATTTAAATCGAGTGAAAATGGCTAAACTGCGACTCATTCAAAAAAATTCAGCTGCCTCTGTGCCGCTTATGCTTCCTGAATTGCAGCAAAAACTAAGATGAAACCCGCAGTTGACGTTTAGCTCCCGTGTTTAAGTTGACACGTCTAAAGCTCTTTTCGAGCAAGAAATCAGTGAGATTAGCTAAATGACAGGCGGAGGAAGTTTGCTGGAACGGAAAAAGATGGCGGTGGGCGATGGAACTGATGCTCAGGGGTGTCACGTGATAGCCACAATGCTGAATTCGCAGAGACAGTGGAAAGTGGCCGCTAATTCCGTGTACCGGCTCCACTGATGCAACCGCCTGAAACTCCGCATTCCGCTGCCCCTTTGTGAATTGAATGAAGCATATCGCATTAAAATCTCCGCAGAACGAAACATCCCTCATCCGCCACGGTAAAGGGCGTTTGTATCACCAGGAACTTGCTGCTGATTTTCTATGGGCAGAAGATGACAAGGAAGCCAACAGTCGTCTTTTTGCCGGGCTCTTTTGCCTCCGACGAAATTTATTTCGATGTCCGGGATGCCGTGATCAAACGTGGCGTCGATGCCCGTGTACTTCCACTGCCTTCCGTGCGGCTCGGACCGGATGATCACCGACCACTGCCCGATATGTTCGATGATGCCGCTGCTATTTCTCAAGAGGTCGAGAGGCTTGCCGACGAGGGCAGAGACGTCATTCTTGTCTCCAGCTCGTACTCTGGTGTTCCCAAGACGCAGAGCTGTGAGGGACTGGGCAGGGCCGAGCGGGAGCGCAATGGCAAAAGTGGCGGCCTCGCTGCACTTGCCTACATGTCGTCAATAATTCCCCAACTGGATCAAGCCTCTAGCGAGATCTTGGTTGATGTGCCGCTGGATCATGTTATTCCAATGGACTGCGATGTTTGTCTGCCCTGCTCATCCCGATAAAGTGCCTGTGGCCGCCTAGTCGAAAAAAGCTGATCTCTCTGCCTAGGATGAAGGATGGTTGAAAATAGATCCAATTGATTACGCGCATTCTGGGTTTCTAGTTTTCTCAAACCTTCCAAAGGACAAGCAAATGGAATGGGCGGGGAAGACTGCCCAACATTCTTCGAAAGCCTTTGGTAACAAGGTGACTTTTCTCAGTTACACGATTCCAGAGGTCGCTCTTGAGGTTCTCTTCAGTGAGAATGACAAATTAATTTCACCGAAAAATCAGCGATTGGGCATTGAAAGGTTGGAAAAGTACTCTGGAAAAACAGTTAAAGTCACCTCTGTTGCTGGAGATCATGCCCCGCATATCTCCATGCAGGACCAGGTCGTCGACTGGCTTGTACAGATTGCAGAAACCTGTTAATGACACAGTTCATTAGGAAGCTCATGAGAAGCACAGTGACGATTTGGCCATAAGGACAGATCGATCCGAGCTTAGAGCTGAGATAATCAAAGTGGCACTTGATGCCACTATCATCCATCCTACATACAGAAAATATATGACACGGTACTGGTACTATTCTTCTTTTCTATAGCCCTGAAATCCCACGGAAATTTGCCTCATGAGAATCTCTAGATGGTGAGGCCATTTTATAAGTGTTAATAATCCCTATCGAAACCGATGAAAACTTCGTGATTGTCCTCAATATTCTTGTAAGGGCATGGTTTAGTGTTACAGCCTCATGCCGTGAAGGGACTGAAAATCAATCGAAGAAACATAGCGCCTTGGCGCGACTTTTCATGTCGCTGATCTTGAGTACATCTATGCGCCATATTCCTTTATTAGAAAGTAATACACCCCTCCACCAGAGAAGAAACGAATGGAAACTAAAATATTTCATTCAGTTCATAATAGTGAGAGTTAGTTATTGAGCCCTATCTGGCCGTTGTACTGAGCCGGCCAGGTCTTAAAATGATTTAGCCAATCTTGAAGGACTGGCATCCCTGCCAAATAGGCCAACCTTGTCATAAATCACCTCACGTTGTTCTCCACTACAATCCACTTCGTACAGATCGTATCTCAAGCGAAAATGAGACCAAACTCACAAAGCACGCCACGCGAAACCAGCAGCGTAGAGAGTACTGACAGCAACATACACTCTAACACTGGGAAGAGGGTCGCAATATATATGATAGAATGGCTTTTTTGAAGAAACTATCATCTCTCAGGTGTGCGACGACTTAACCGATTGATGGTCGGATCAGAGCTGACAGAACACGCGACTTGACAGGAAGCGACGAAGCCTCCAGCCAGGGAGAGTTGAACAGGCCGCGGATGGGTCTCCTTCAACTCCCTCTACAAACTTGCCTGCTGTAAATGAAACACCAGAGCCCCCCAAATCCACGACCAAGGCAGCATCAGGGACAGCGCCACCAGGCCCCATTCCAGGAAGAAGTCAAGTCGCTCAACAACAACAACAACAACAACAACAACAACAACAATATCAACAATATCAACAATATCAACAACAACCACAACAACATCAAGAACAACAACATCAACAACATCAACAACATCAACAACAACAACAACAACACCAACCTTCGCCAAGAAAATCAACGCCGGAGTCCAGCGTCCTCGCACAGGCTCAAGCTATAAGGTCTGATGCCCTGCAATACCAGAGGTCAGCTTTTACCCAGGTAGGAAGCACACCACCTCAGCTTGATGCAGCATTAAGCAACATCAATACTTCGATCCAGCTCAATCCGGATGATGGCATATCATGGAAGTTAAAGGGCATTATCTTGCAAGCTACCGAAAGGTACGAAGAAGCTTACATGGCGTACACGGAGGCTGTAGCGAGGCTAGAGGGCCCCGAGAAGCAAACAGTGCAACAAACTTTGTCCCTGCTGGCTATGTTGAAGCAGGCGCAGCAGGTCGAGGCAGCAAAACGAGCACCATATATTCCTCCAACCCCCATAGCTCAAACCCCGCTTTCCACGCAGACATCGACGGAAGTATCGACACAAGTATCACCGATAGCCCCAGCTCGGCCACCCCAGATGGGTCTCATAACGTCACAGCCAACAGCCCTGGAGCAAACCCAGGCAAGCCAAGGCTTACCTACCCCAAAGCCCATATTGCTCGAACCACCATCCTCATCTAGCGTTACCCATCCACTATTGGAAGAGATTCGGGCATTAAAGCACCCTAAGAGCAGAGACCTGCTCATGACTCTTACCCGAAAATGTCGAGGCGCTCTATATCTTGTAGAGTTCAACGGTCTTGGTTCTGTTGCTCAGGTGGCATTGTTCTTCCTGGGCTATAACTACACCGCTTCCCAGCGGCTTGATATGCCCCGTTCACCGCCCACTCTGCATCCTTCTTGGGGTAAGTTGGGTTCAAAAAGGAATATCGGCCAAATTGCGCGACTGCATCTAACATATGGTATTGCATTACAGAAAAGAGCTATTGGCGTGTTCATCTTAGTTCAGACAAAAGAAGGTTCAACTATAACTTCGAGTCTCTATCACTTCCTGGTAATGAGGTGTTCGACTTTGACTGTGAGACCATAGCGAACTATGACGGTTGCCATCTAGGAACTGCCAGTGTCCGAGGATATAGTGAAGCATACAGGCTGCAACAAGGTTCCTTGCCAAAAGGCCACGCGAGCGTAGAGGTTTTCAGTTCAGCGCAGGCTTGGATGGAGCAGCTCTCGATCAACGCACTGAATGAAAATATTTCAATGTGCTCAAGAACCGGGTCTCTCGATAGGATCGGGGCGATCGGACTCGACGAGGCCATCATCACTCACGCCACGTAAGACACCCCCCCCCCCCCCCCCCCCCCCCCAAATTTTACAGGACTTTCTAATCGTTGCGGTAGATCCGGAGTTGGAGCAGCCTGTGCCACTATCCAACTATCTCCCCCAAGTTTTCTCTCCGATATCCGCGGATTTTCTGCCTTCTCGTCTACTATCGCAAAGATCACAACTAGGGACGCAATCGGCCTCCAAAAGTTCTTGCAATATATCCTCATGGGCGAGCTGGCCTCTGTACTCGTAAGAAACTTGGCGAAAAATCCACGGTTCCCAAACAAGGTACAAATTAGTCCGGCTTTATGTGCACTTATTGCACTCGCCCGCCTCTGGAGAGAGCACCTGACCGTTCGTCCTGCCGTCGGCACGAACCATTGGAATCTAGTTCCGTATCATGCTCAGATCCACGCAGAAGGGCTTGTGCGCTTTGCCGAGGCCTTGGGATGGCCATATCTTAACGAGGCGTGTGCAAGCATCAACGAAACGCTTAAAAATTTTACCTCCAATATGTTTGGGTCCGGCATCCACCCTTACCATCTGGACTGGCTACTTGGACTTGTTCTTCCTGGTCGATATTTTCGACATCAAATCTTGACCTCTTTGGTTCTCATATGCGCAGAAACACGTGAGATAGGTCTCTGCCCCAGCTTCGACAGTGGGTTAGTCATATTTGACAAGAGTTATTGGCCGAAACTAACTGTTTTGGGTCGCATCCTTTCGTCTCTGGATCACAGCAAGGTAACATGCGGTTGGGTACGGCCTCTGCCTGCGCCAAAAGTACACGGATTGTCATTCGCATGGGCTAGGATAGAGGCTAAGCCTGTCCCCCTGCTGCCTCCATTGTCTTTAGAAGGGTTGACAAACCTCCAATCGTGCGGATTTGAACAGGAATACGATGCTTCAGATCCCAAAGCCTTCCCTATAGATCTCGCCAACCTCTCCAAGTGGAATCCACCCCGAATCTTCCCACCACGTCCTTCCTCATTCAAGATTCAAGGCCGAGTTGAGCTTCAAGCTATCCAGCTGAATGAAGTGGCGAGTCCAGCCAATACTGCCGGAAAGACATATAGCGCAAGACTGGGGTTCTCTAGCCACGGTGATGAGGTGTCATTCACCATCCGATTCAACCCACTGTTTGTGCATGTACCCAATTGTGAGGGCACGACACATCCGATCCACGATCGACTCACACATAAGCTATTTGACAGGCTCGTCTATGCCAGGCAGTTGAACAATGGAGCTATAATCCCGACCGGGCCGGGACTGATTATCATCAACGCAATGGAGCCGGGCGAGGAAGCTATGGCGCGAGCATGGTGTGCCGAGGTGGGGAAGAATGCAGTTGTCAGGAAGGGAGGTCAGGGCTGCTTCACGTGTGCAGTTAATCTGGCGATGTCTCAAACAGGACTTAATTTCCATACACTTATTTGGTCTTCATAACTCAGCACTCTACAACATTGGTTTCATATAAACTTAAAATCTCGGGCATTGAAACCTGACCAAAATGAAAGTGCTTCATGCTGTATCCCTGTAAACGTGTGTAATACAACACTTATCGTAATCTACTTGTCCCATCAAGATGCTGTTCTCCATGTGCTTTATGAAATTCCTAGGATAGGACACCTTGTTTAGGGGAGAACTTTCTACTTCACGGTATTGTTCTGTAAGTTTCACAAAGGGAAGAAAAAGACGGGAACAGGAAGGAAGATATTTTTTTTACAACTATTTGAATCTGCTTGAGAAAATGCCTACACTAAAATAGCCTTGTAGCTCTTGATCTCCATGTCAGGCAATTCCAGGTACTCAAAAGCTGGGCCATTATGGCACTAAAACATCAATGGATAATAAAGGTCAATTGTTATGCTTTCAATTTCTGAAATCGAGATCTTTGACGTGTTGTTCAACAGCTTGTTAGGTTTTTAAAGACTAGAGCGAATCTTTTGAGATAGATCAATGCGGGAGTGCCAATGAATCAACGAAAACACTCTGAAATCCCATCAATCTGTTAATTTCGACCTTGCAGCTTGGTTCTAGTGCTGTTTTGGACCGAGACCTTGCGATCATAGCCCCTTACAGTGCATGGTTGTGGTATTTGTTAGTTCAAAAATCCGACTGGTATTCATTATACGTGCGAACAGAAAAACGCGGACAAAGCTTCCTAGACCACGCTCGGCCTAGATACAGAGAATACACCCGCCGCCACTTGTATGAGATGGAGGTCATCTCCCCGGGTATCTCGCGAGATTTATCTGCTATCAGCCTCGAAATTCAAGCATTTACTAATCGCCACATGGCAAGCTATAAGACTTGTGTCATTCAACTGAATTGAAGTGCATCTATTTCCCGCTACGCGTCCTTTTTGTAGCATGAGACACCTCCAGACTCTTGAAGTCTGGATCTCCATCGAGATTTCAGCACATGAAAATTAGCGGGCGGCTTGTGCCTATGATACATCCAGTGAAACTTCCCGTGATAGAAAATGCCCTCGTCCCGCGGCCTCCGGGGCGAGAACCAGCTGACTGGTCAATAAATGCAGTTCCATTTCACGAAATTCTCATCGCGAATCGCCCTCACTCTGCTTCGAATCATGAGATCAATGAAATCCCCCTTTGACTCCCAAAGTAGTCCGAAAAGTTCCATCCCGCGCGATTTCCACCATTTTACAACTTGGCTTCTGCGTGCCGGACTTGTTGCTGCAGATCATCAATCTTGCCTTCCAAATCCAGCTTTTCAGGGAGGTATCTCGCGTTGGTTCTGTTGTACTCGCTTAAGCGACGTAATCCTTCCTGAGAATTCTTATATTCTTCCGTCTCTTTGTTCCAGGACGGCCAGAACTCAGCCTCGTTGGTATTCACCACTCCTGACACGATTGCATACCGGGATTCAAGACCACTCAGCTTGTTTTTCAATTCCCGTATAAGGGCTTTGATTTGCATGCCTTTTTCCATGTTGGCTTATTGGAGGCAAACTTGTTGCAGAATCGAGAATGTCGAAAGAGTACGACCAAAGTTGAGCTCGTTGTAGGTATACTGAGGGGTGGGCTTGTATTGTCTGGCTTATGCTTTGGAAAATACTCTAGGCCATGTAGGAAGGAAGAAGGGTGAAGGCATATATATATAGGAGAGAGTATGCAGTGATTCACTAACAGCGATCAAGACCACTAGGATGTGTATCAGGGTGAAACCTATGTTGATGGACAATAAAGATATTGTTTCCAAACAAGCCCATTCTTTTACTGTGAATAACCTTTCAATAGGTATAATCCGAAGAGATAGTTCTGCATGTCTTGTGCCTTGAGACTTGAAAGAAGAAACAATGGCATCCAATCATTAACAATTCTTTTTCTGATCAATCCGAGAACAAGATGAATAGAAATCCGAATGGGCATCTAGAAGATCTTTGTTTGCATGGTCTTGATAAATGGTCTGAGATGAGGGACTGATTCAATATGTGGCTGTTGGTTACACCTAAGAGAAAGAGAATAAAGTTCAACAGCAATGGAAGCTGCCAGAGCCCGACAACTCAACACAATGAATACGAAAACCTAAAAAAGAGCCTTTGCTAGCCCAGGTTGGCTACACAAAGCATGATGTGTAGATTAGGCAGTTTGCGAATATCTATCCTTGCAAGATAAATGACAATAATAATCGAAACAAGAAATCATCCATTCATCTGCATCATATCTAGCAATATCACCAAATCAAAAATATCCACAATGAATACGATGATGAGCATGAAATTTCTGCATGTAATTTAGCTGGCTTGTGAACCTTAAAAACAGTTTGAAAGGCACAGGCTAGCGCCAAAGTCGATGAACAATGACACATCAGGCGTAGAGACTGCCGGCCTGTGGTAGTTCCACTCGATCGTTTGAAAAGGAACAATGACCGATCCCGCCATGGCCGGAATCTGCCGTCCTTACCACGCCCCATCTAAGCGGTAGGAGCTCAGACGTACCCTCGGGAGTATGGCAGGCGGCTGATATGGCCAAGCTGCAACTCCCTGCTACGGGTATACCGTGTCTCAACGGGCGCCTTCCCAACACCACAGCTGCCAAAAATATGATGACAATTATCACACAGGTGGCTGCTATTGCCACTGGTGAGTATCCTCCGGTTATATACGGAATGTTCCACTCTGATGCGTCTAGAGTCTTAAACTTTTTGTATTGATAGGTGTACCATTCATTGATTTGGGAGAGAAAAATGCTTTGCGAGATCAACCAGTGCATGAGCACCGAGAGAACCAACAGTGGAATTCCGTATTGATATGGAAGTTGAAGGAAGAAGCTTGACCTCTGGGCACCCTTCGGAAATGATACTCGAAGAGGCTGATGGTTCTTGTGACTGAAGCTGGACCATTCCCCAGCGGCGGCCATGGTGGTAAACAGCCCATTGAGAATGATGTATAGGATAGATAGTAGCACCTGTGGAAGATTCACTACCAAAACAGTAGCAATAACAGCTATATCGCCTGATGTGGGAATATTCCATTGGATCAGATTGTAGGGCGTGATACTACCCAGACCCAACGACCACAAGAAGTTGAAATCGCCGCGTTGATACCGAGTCTTGAGCATGTAGATCCCATAGCCTAGCAGTGCCAATATCACGGCTAGCGCAACAAACGTTCTTCAAGTTAAAAATTAGCTTGATAACTGCAGGGGAGTGGTAGGGGAAAGCACAAACAGAAGGCTAGCGGCTATCCACCTCCTTTTACTGACTCCGGAAGCCCATTTTCGCTTTTCTGGCCGATAAATGGTTGCAGATATGATTGGATCGCCTTTGTGCTTGATTATCTCTTTGGTAGATAGCAAACACATTCCCTCTGTCCGGGGATCTGGGACTGCGATGAATGATGCCACAGCGTCCCCCAGTGTTACCAGAGGTTTGTGATTTATCCAGTTACTTGACGCCATGGTCAGGATGAGGACAAGCTTGACAATGTTGAAGCCAATAACAACGTATAACAAACTAATCGCCACATTGATCTGGCATTCATTTGGCAGTTTCTCACTGAGGCAGTAATGAACTTTGGTTCCAACAATCCAAGGATCTGCTCCCAGTTGCTTCTTCCAGGCTCCGTCACTGCACAACTCTGCAGGGGGCGGGTCAGCAGACTTTTTTTCATCGACGTAGAAGTCTCTCTGAGAGCAAATCCAACTAAACCAATTGGTGATTCGAGGAGAGATTAGTGGCGTCATTCCGTTCTCATAGTTAACCACGCTGTACAGACTCGTGGCTGATGTGTTTCCACACTCCTCAAAGGGCGCGTAGGATATCTTTGGGAAATTGGTGCAGCTGTCTGGTCGATCGATGATCAGAACTACGTCTCCCCGGTCTTGGAGAAGGTTTTTTGCGTAGGCGTTAATACACTCGTCATTTGATAACTTTTCAAACTCCCCTTGCATCAGCCTTTGTTGCAACCTCTTCGTGTTAGCCAGCATAACGTCCGGCGGCGTGAAATAGTCCCTGATGGCCGTTGCATTGTAAGGGGCGCCCGTAGCAAAGGACTCATCGGCAAACCAGACGCGATACAAATGATTGTTTGAAGATACGAAAAACGTAGAATTGTATCTATCCTCAACAGTCAGTCTGGCGGATGGCATGGCTGCTGGGCGGCAACTTACACCAAGTGGAGAGGTATGGAGGTTAGAGCAAGAGAGAGGCAGACAAGCAGCCTGCGCTTTCTCACGAACCGGATATTTCGCAAGCTAGGTATACCGATATCCATCCATGAGCCTCGCTTATGCGCTTTGTCGATATCCTCTCGGGTAGGAGCGCTCAGAGTTTGCATGCAGTAGTTGCTGGCGCCAAGGAGGAGCGTGCTGACGATGTTGATGACAAGATGGATCCCAATCCCGATTTTGTTAATGCTGGCGCAATCTCCTGAGAGCACTGGCCCAATACTGGACGAGCCTGTTTTCGAGCTGATCTTGGCACGACAGATGATGGCAACAACAATATTGATGATCAAAACGATGGATGTCAGAAATGCTGCCGCGGCGGTACCAAATTTCCAGCCTGTCGGTATCCATTTTCGACCCTTCTTGCCAGTATCCTTTGAGTTCGGGATAAATGGCACGGCCGGGTCGATCCCCAGCTGGTCTTCCGCCTCTGCATGTTTCGTCTCGTGCGTCATATCGGACATATTGGCCTTCTTGTCCCGGCGGCCAAATGCCATCACGAGAGGCTACTGTGATGGTGGTTCAGAACAAACAACCAACAATCAGCAGTTGATGGGAAGTTTGTCCATGAGCTTGCTGAGAAATACATTATCCACGCACTTCAACCATTATGTATGCTGCGGCTTGC